CACAAAATATTTTACGCGGGATTAGTAAAACCCTTGATTATGTATAAATAGATATACAATGAGGGCTTAGTAAAATCCTATCTTCTAGATGGCGCCTTGCCCGTTTTGCATTTTTCTATTCCCCTACGATTTTCTTTGAGGGGAATCCGTTAAATCCGCCCATCGTTCAAAAATGGAAGGGCGCGAGGTCACATCTATTGGGCTACTTATTAGCACGTTTCACGCATGTTTTACGAAAATAGCTTTATCCTTGTTTGTTTCAACTGTGACAAGAAAAAAGGAAAAAAAAAGTCATATTCGTTTCTAAATTCGTCAGTTTTGTTTATCTTTCTCGACTTCCTCTGATTTCGTTTCGTTTAGGTTATGTATTAAAAAATAATTATTTATAAGCTTTTGAGTTGAAATATACCTTAATGCATATCTAAATAATTAAAAAAATCAATTTTTTCGTCCCTCACGAAGAAACGAAACAGTATTTTTGAATATTTGGATTACAAACTATTATTTTATGAGTTTTATGTGTTGTTTACGTGATGTGTAATGTGTATTTTGTACCTGCTGGATAATATTTTGAAACATATTTAATTAAACAAAAAGCATCTGTATTACAGGTGAGTAAATACTGTTCATATTTATTTCTAAATTCATATAAATTTGTTTTAAATCACTCTTGGTTTTTAGAGTTTTTATCTTAAGAGTTTTACCTCATAGAGAGTCTGAGATAAGTTTAATAATAAACATTAAATTTGATAGATTGATAGATAGATTAAACGATAATGGCCAGTTGACTTAAAAATTTAAAAAATACTGATTTTATGCTATAAATTATGTTTCATTTCTTACTTTGCTTTTTTGGAACTGTCAGATATATATTGTGTATTTTATAATTTTTCTTAATTAATAACGTAAAATATTGTTTATCTACAGTCAACCCTGTGTTTAGATAAAGCTTCATATCAGATTTCCTATTTTATATTTTCACTCCTTTGAATAAGAAGACTAAGGAAGGAGCATATCAAAAATCTTAGGTACACCGCGATGGGCCTCAAATATGGCCGACTTAAATTCCGGTTTATCAGTGTCGTTTTAATTTTATTTAAAAAATGTAAAACTATGATGTAGGGTAGACGTGGGGTAGACTCAATAATTTGTTGTTTTATTTTACGTTGTGAATAAATGTTGGTAGTTATTAAAATTGTTATAAAAATATATAATTCTAATAAAAATAGATAAGTTATAATAAGTATTTATTACCACAAACATCCGATACGCTACTGAAGCAGGTAAGTCAAATTAACGTATCTAAATTCTTTGACATCTAATCTTTGACAAGTAATAAATAAAAGCTAAAATGCAAGAAAAATATATAATTTAGTTAATTTAAGTGAATTTCATAAATGATCGGTTTACTACACGTATGTATATTATATAGTCACTTATTAGCGAAAAGTTGTTCCATTATTTCACTCAATTTTTGCCGAGATCTACCGCACGCTACACAACCAACTATTTTAGAGTCTTTTTCGATAAATCGCGATAGTGTCACTGTTAATTTAAGTGCTGCCACAATTTCTATCTAGATTTACTACCTTTATACAACTATCAGTAGTAGAATAAATAATAAATAATATAAAATAAGCTCCGTAAAGACTGACAAATTCACAAAATTTCAAATCAAATTCAAATGTGTCAAATGAATCGTCAAACAGAACTGTCAAGGATCCCCACCCTAGAGTGCTTTTATGGCGCTTTTTCCGCCCACCATGCATGAATACATGGATAGCATTATGCTCCTTCCTTAGTCTTCTTATTCAAAGTTTCACTCAAATCATATTTTTGTAAAATAGGTATGCTTGCATGCAAAAGTAGCGTAAATTTAACAGGGAGGTATTTTTATAGATATACAGGATGATTCATAGATTTAAATACATATTTACTTTAGAGTTGTATAGTTTGTCAAAAGAAAGGCTATATTTTTTATTTTTTCTTGGTGAATTTGTCAAAAAATTGTCATTCCAGAAAATACTATAATGTCGTAATCGTATAGAGTTCATTTTGACCATTTTTGGATTAAATAATAAAAATTTTTGTTTATATAATAAAATATATATTTAAAGCCCTTTCTAAGTTAAAAATAAGTAATATGGAAGTTTTTTACTGGAACTAATTTAAGGTAATGTTCTCTTCATATAATTATATAAAAATATGCTAAATTCCTAAATTATTTATATGATTAAATTTTCTTTATATTATTTTTTTTGTATTATATACAGGATGAGTCAAAACTAGATATATTATATTTTTCTTTGCTATTTCAAATGGAACACTTTATTTTATATCATAAATCAACAAATCTTTTATCCAACTTTTGTTTTGTTAAGATCTATATCCCAAATTAATAGTTATTGAATTGTTCTCAATAATTGTCTCTTTGAGAATAAACATGATTTGTTTTTCGCAATTTTTATTAGTAGGTTTGTCGTTAAAAGTGATGTATCTACATATTTATCAGCGACAAAAATTAAGAATTAGATGTCTAAAATAATTTCCTAATTATTTTTTTACTTGGCGTATCAGTAAATATTATTTATTTTATCGCTGCAGCTGAAAATAATTATGTATTCCAAAAGAGGACATTACTGTATAAATATCGATTATTTGGATTTAAAAATTATTTTTCAAAACAAAGTTGGAAAAAACTACGTTTATGTCATAAAATGTGGAGTTCTCTTTGAAATAATCGAGAAAAACCCAACATCTAGTTTTGACGCCACCAGTATATATCATGCATTATAGTTGATTATACTGCAATTTATTATACATACGTAGTTTTGTTTGGTGAAAATGAAACTTTCTAAAAGTATTCCCAATTAAAACATATTAAGAATTTCCTACATTATAATTTTGAAAGACGTTTGAGTGGGCAGACAATTTGGTCTAAAATAATCATATGTCTAAAGAATTTAGTCTAAAATAATCAAAAACCACTTAACACATATAACTCGCTTTTAAAAAATCTAAAAGAAATAAGTTTGTTTATTATATTCATATTTTATTAAATTATTATAGGTGTGACTGCTAAGTGGTCGTACTCGCCACTTTAACCAACCATTGGTGGGACCATGGTAGGACTTCAGAGATTATAATGCGAATTTTTCATACCATGTAAATCTATATACATATATTAATAAATGCGTTTGTTTTATTAAATTTGTTTTCTTATACGGTATGAGCGAAAAAAAAACGGCGTCTATTTGTTTACGTACAAATATATGACATCGATATTCATTTCCAAGCCACCTCTGACGCCGTTTTTTTTATCGTATGGTATACACTTACATATATCCCTTATCCTTTATATCCGATTTATTTCTAATAATTATAAAAATAAGATACCTTATTGATTCTTTCGAAATATTATAAAATGAGATATCAGGAAATAAATAATGTTAATTATCAAATTGTTTTGGGAATTCACAAAAAAGGGTATAGAGAATCTTAAGAGACACAGTTCAAATATTATTTTTGAGTATAATGGGTGCTTCAAAAAATGTGGCGGATATAATGTAACATGTTTTTTAATGCAAAACTCTTATTTATAACCTTTATTTTATTTTCGATTCTGCCTAAAATTCTATAACTTTTTTTTATAAATAACGTTAGTATTTGCAAAAAAAATTATTCCTATGTTACATAATTGTCAGTTGTTTCCGAAGTTGGGCTACACAAATTTGGTAGGAGTGTTTTACAGAGGTGAAGAAAAAGATATATGTAAAAATACTTGGAGTTAGATGCTACACTGTGTTCAAACAGTTTTTTTGGGCTGATCCTATATATTATTATTTTTTCTAGTGATTTTACAAAACCTTTCAACATTTGTTAAGAAAGTATATTAAGTACATCTATACTCTATACAGCTTGCAATCTGTTCTGAATTTTTCAATTTTTATCCTTCTTTTACTTCATTTACACTATAACAAGTATAACAAGTTTTGCCATGACAAAACAAAAATTATTTATTATTAAGCATTAAAGTAATTTATATAGTTATATGACATTATTAATAGAAATTGAAGAATTTTGTAAAATCTATCAGAAAAAATTATAATATACCGGGTGTTTTTCAAAAGTGGCTTGATTGACGTATTCAATTAGTTTCGGTTATTTCTTGTTTCACCGGAAATGACTACAACTTGGTTTTTAAATGGTACCGTCGGTATTTTTTTACTTTATTTGACAGAATATGGCATTGTGAATAGAATAATTTAATGTCAACTTTTGACATATTTACTTAAAAAATTGTATTTTAAATTACAATCTAGAGTGCCATGATAAAAAACAACATGTAACCGGTCGTAAAGGTAACGACAGTTTGACTCGATATACGAAGTGTGTGGTACCAAATTACCTATTTACCAGGTACCAAAAAGGAAAAGACACAAAAAATATTAGACGATCAAATCAATTTTTCCGAAGCTCCTTGATTAAAAATTAATGGTTTTAACACAGCCATGACACTAGATTGAATTTTAAAATGCTATTTTTTTTAATTGAAAATGTCAAAAGTTGACATATGATATATGTCATTCTATTCAGAATGTCATTTTCTATCAAATAAAGTATAAAAAATACTGAGGGTACCATTTAAAAATCAAATGTTGTACTCGTATACATTTCCGGTGAAACAGGAAGTGACCGAAACTAACGGAATACGAATCAATCTCGATTTATGTCATATACCTACTAACATTCCGAATTTGGTAAACCCCGAATTTAATTTTTTTATCTGAAAAAATAAAAAAAAGTTATAGAGGTGAACCGCTTTTGAAAAAACACTCAGTATAGGCTGCGTCATTGAAAGAATCTGCAGATATTTTTCTATTTTAAATACGTAGTCGAATTTCAAAAATATATATTGAACACCCTGTAGCCTCTACCTTAAATATCTACATATAAATATCTAATATTTTTTCTTCATCAACAAATTGAAATTAAAACTAATTTTAGCTTACAACAAGTGGCCATGAAAATCAAAATAAATATAAATCCATGTCCAAAAATAAAAAAATGTAAATAACGCTTTGAGGTATAAATTCGGTTCGAATCAGATAAGATATTTTATTCTTTACCGAGAATTAAATTCGAAGAATTCCTACTCCCTACTTCTTTGTCAAATTCAATAGTCTCCGCCCCTTTTTACGTTTTAATTTCTGCCACCAGTTGGCAGCATCGACTTATACAGGCACATTGACTAACTATTAATATATAAACAAGGGTAAAACTAACCTAAATTTATCCAACCCAATAATGGCACAAAAAGTGATAAATCTGTTAAATGGAGTATGGTTAAGAACGATTATTATAAGGATCTAAATTCATTTTATCCTAAAAGAATAAAAGTTCCAAAAAAAGACAGCAAAATTCCACAAAGAGGCAGCCACACAGAATCAAATTACAGAGTATAATAAATAATTAAACGAGATATTGATATTAAGGTTTTAATATATTTTTATTTAAAATTATGTTACTTATTATAATTTATGAATAAATTATTGTTTTTGTATAGGAAAATATGTGGTATTTTTATTAAGCATAAATTATTCAATATGCTTATTGCTCATAGCTGAGTAAATTTTGATCATTTTTATTAATCTGCCTGGAGTGCCTGGCCTCGATTTGGCATTTTGTAAAACGACTGAAAACAATATTTTTGCAGAAGTGTACAGAAAATATCGTCATTGTTTAATATGCCTAATTCTGATTAGGCATTTTGCAAAGCGACTGAAAATAGATAGGCTTTTTGTAAAAATTCTTTCTTTTGTTTAAAAGGCCGGCGTTTTATAATATGCCTAGTCTTTTTGCAAAAAGCCGGATTATTCTATGCGCCTGCGACATATATACAAGTAGAATTAAATTCTGAACAACTTTTGTTTTTGACTTGTTTAGATGTTTTGTCACCTAACCCCACTTCTTGCATATAAGACAATTTTGTAATTCGCCAGCCATGACCATTGTTGCATGACATATTGTAAAAAATATATTTTTTGATGCCAATAACTATTATATATTAATATAATTTTTCCCATTTGTTTCCCATCAAACTTTATGGAATACCCCTGTACGGACTATAAGTCTATAGCTTACACGTCTAAATTTTCCTACAAATAATTTTCTGCTGAGATCAAATTAAATATTATTAAAAGTCTGGTACGCAAAACTTTCCGCTGAGGTATACGTCGTTGAACTTTGTACTGTAGAAAACGCGACTGCCGCATCGCCTTCGTCGAAGGTGTCGGATGTCGTCACCACCTTATGCTTGTCCAGGCCGTCATTTACCTGCCCCAAGTTGAAACTACCTATCTCAGTTTTTAGTTTAATTTCCTCGCCGTTCGCGCCTTGCAGCGTTACGAGTGACAGCGCACTACCCGGTATTTGGACTAATTTGTTACAATCGATAATCAACGGTTGGACCTCGCTTTGTATCTTGATGTCGCCCATGATGCCCATAAGTATTCTTTGAGGTTGGGACTGTAACTGCGAAAGTTGCGACTGCGCATCCACTCTCTGTTCGATTTCTTGCGTTTGAAGGAGATGCTGTACTTGCACCGCTTCGTCTTCGAGTTTGACGGCTCGGTTCTTTCCGAACGTCTTAAATTTAATGGGCATTGGTTCAACTGTAGTAGTTACAGGTTCCACTCTGTAATGGAAAAGCATTAATTAAACTAGAAGATATTCCAAAGTACAAAATCGCAAAAATCCGGTGTTTCAGCATATTTTTGTTTTTATTCAAAATAACCAATGGTCATAGAAAAATCAATAAAAGTTGGCGTGCACGTCATCAAAATACCGTATGATCAAAAAAAGGCGTGTATCTTGCTGGGAAATTACAACATAGTGTATTTGATAAATGCACGTCGTAATCTTGCCATGGCTACTTTTTTTACTTTGACAAGTGTCAAATAAAATTCGTAATTTTGTCATAACAAAAAAAATCTGACTATTTAGTGGTTTTGTTATTTTATTGCAATGAAAATCGCAGTTTTAACTACGCAAAACGCAGATTTAATTTCAAATTTGTCAAAGAAAACTCAGAATAAAATTTAAAATGAAAATGACAAATGATATTACTTTTTCTATATACCGATTTGGTCATTTTAGAAGTGTGGTCTGGAAGACAGTGATGTAGGCAGCTTAACGGGAAATCAAATGTATTAAAAAGAGACAAAAGTTGGGTTAATAAATTTGTTCTCTGCGGTATTGTCAGATTTTGTATCAAAAGTTCAAACCGCACAAGTAGGAGTTTATGAAAAATGTTGCATCTAGGGTTGGAACCTTATTTTTCACAATTAGTTACTAATTTTACTACAGATGTAATAGATTATATTTAGTTTAGATATATTATCTTTATTTCAGTAGTATACATGAAAGTTTTTAAAATAGTTTTTTTTCTACACAAATTTTCCTACCAACGTAAAAACCGGCAACACTGTATGCCGTTTTTGATTTTGTCTGTCAACTGGTCATTTATATTATTCTCTGTCTTACACGTTAAAATCCAGACCACACTTTTAAAATGACCAAATCGGTATACAATTTTGACAGAGTGGCCGCATCTAAAGATGAGACCAAGCTCGTCATCAACGATTTACTGGTGAACGTGTCCAAGGCTTTAAGAAGTCAGCGCAAAATTTCTGATAACTCTGTGTATCCCATAAAATACACTTATGTGACGTAATAATTTAGGATTGTGCCTGTTAAAACTAGCAAATAATAATAATAATACTGAGTTACGATTTAAAATGGAATTTAATTTATTATCTAAATTGGAACGTCAAGGTAGTTAAAGTGTCAGAACAAGCGTTTGTATGGTAATGATGTTAAATAACACAATAATAATGACTTATTAACTGTCAAAATTATCAACGTAATTTTAATTAAGAAAATTGTAAAAATAGCAAAACTTGTTTAACAAAATTTCGGGGTTGAACATACCTGTGACCGCCTTTCAAATCTGGCAGCGTCTCCATCCAATGACCAGTGGCTCTGCGATGATTCTTCAACTGACCCGATTGGATAAATCTTGCAGGACAAACACCGCAAGCGTAAGGCCTAGCTCCCGTATGTCTGCGCATGTGCAAGGCTAAATCGTTAGATTGCGTAAACGCCCTACCGCAAATATTACACACGTACGGTCTTTCACCAGTATGAACTCTACTGTGCCTGAGCTAAAAAAATATAAGAATATGTGTAATACGGAGTGATCAACGACACATATTTATTAACTAAAGTAGTTAACACTTATATACAGATTGTTAACTGGACAGTTACTTATAGGGGAACAGAATGGCAACACTGCCTGAGAACGCATGCACTTATAGGGTTTTCTGCCGACTCGTCCCATCGCGTCGTCTATCGACGAGCGGACCGAAGTTGCCATATAACTTTTTTTAACCAAACCAAACCATAAAGCTCTTGCCGCGAGTAATAAACAAATTAACAAACTGTATATGGATCAACGATGATTGAAGTGGTTGGCTATTCTGATTTTGCTCAAATAAATTTAAGAAATTCAAATATTTATCGGCTCTTATCACTAGCGTCACAACAAACCAAATATAATTACCATATTAATAATGCCCATTTTTAAATTCATTTTTTATATTACTTATATTTTTATATTACATTATTATTTCGTTTTCTAAATGGGGGGAAATAAATGGAATTAATCTGAAAATTTTCTAATTTAATTACTGAATAAGTGTATTTAAAAATATATAGGTTAGGTTACAGGTTAACAATGCATATTAAGGCATCATATAACTAGTTTTATTCCAAAAAATGTTTCTTGTATCCAATATACTATAAAATACACTTGAAATTAGCAGTAAGAAGAACTTCTATATTTGATACCAGTTAAACTGTTAGTTACATAATCTAGGGCGGGATTTTTAAATTCATTGTTGCCAACCATGTACATATTCGGCGCCGGGCTGACTATCTGGAATTTAAATTTCCCGCTGGAGATTCAGGTGGTTGCTCTGTAGTAAATATTTATATATACAGGGTGATTCTTGTAGGTGGGTCATGCTTTCGTGGAATGATAGAGGACGTCGAAATATGAATTTTGATATAGCACACTATGGGCCGGAAATGCCTCTTACGCAAGATACAGGGTGTTAAAGTTTTTGAAAAATTAAAGATATTCTTTAATAGTATTAACAGTTGAAGGTATCGTTATAAAATTTTATTATAGGAGTCTGCCTAACAGAGACACTTTAAATGTAAAAAGAAGAGGTTTTAATTTTAACCAATGGCGGAGATGTGATATGCATCGCGTAATTTTTTCAAAAAAAAAAAATAGTACGCCACTGACTGCTCAGTTTATTTCCAAGAAAAAATGTCTATTGCAACTTTCTCCTATCTAACACCATTTTGTCACAATTTAAAAATAAATATTTTTTTTAATGAGAACCTTAAATACAGCGAATAGAATATCATATGTCAACTTTTGACATTTTCGCTTAAAAAATCGTATTTTAAATTTCAATCTAGAGTGCCATGGCTGTGTTAAAAACACTAATTTTTAATCAAGGAGCCTTGGAAAAATAGATTTGATCGTCTAATGTTTTTAAAAAATAAAAAAGTTATAGGGGTGAGCCACTTTTGCGACGCACCTGGTATATCATTATTCCTTTTCCATGTTGAACACTATAGTTGTATTGAAAAATAATATGTTGATTTCACAAATAACAAAGTAAAAACTTGCAGATTTTCAAAAAGATAAAGAAAAGCCCAAAAAAAATGACGTTAATGACATAAGTTGCTTAAAAATTCAATCTAAAATTTGTTTTAGAGAATAAAAACAGTATTGCCAACTATTTGAATCACTGTTGATTGCTCCCTATTTTGCCAAACTGAATAACAACAGAGGGTCGGAGATATGAGATATACTAGAGGGTCGTTTGATAAGTAGTTTCAGATAGACCAGTTTTAATTAGATTACTGTCCTGATATGTAATTTACTAATTAAAAGGTGTACATACCAGTTTATTACTTTTATTGAAAGACTTGCCGCACAAAGTACACAAGTAAGGCTTTTCACCAGAGTGAGTTCTCTCGTGACATTTAAGGTCGTGCGATCGTGGGAAACCTTTCCCACACACATTACACTTATACGGCCTTTCTCCTGTATGTCTCCTCATATGAACAATCTAAAAATTACATATACATTGTAAAGTAAAAGCATATTAGCAGTTTTGTTGAGACCTTACCATATTACTCGAATTATTAAATTCTTTACCACAATATACACATAAATGCAGTTTTGAATTATCCTTTAATCCTGTATGTATCCTTTGGTGCGTTTTTAAATTATCTAATCTATTAAAAGCTTTCCCGCACTCCATGCAAACGTGTCTTTTGTCTTGCATTAGATGCGTTTTCGTATGCCTTGCTAAAAGGTCAGACCTGCAATATATAGAAAAAGTATATTTAATCTATACAGGGTAACGCAAAATCATTGTAATTTAAAACTTTTTTAATTTGGAGTATGTCCCCAGATTGTCAGTAAAAGAGGAAAATCTTTTTTTATTATTAACTTTAAAGCTTCATTCAGAACCTCAAAATCAGTGGAATTAGTAGTTTCAATTAGCCGTAGAAGTTTGTTCACCTAATTTTAATGTAAGCATTCAGAACGTCATAATTAGTGGTAGTAATTTTCAATTATTGGAAAAAAGCTTCATTCAGAACCTCCCAATTAGTGGAATAAATTAGTGGTTTCAATTACACTTTATACTTTTTAGTTTACAATCATTCACAATGTCTAAAAAACACAATTAAAATTAATAAAATATCCTAGTAAAATATCCTACCTTGCGGTAGTCAGTTATATCCATAGAGAAAGCATAATATTTAGTGTATAAAACAATAAACTTTTGATTTCTAACCAAAATTTTTCTTGATTGGTGATAATCAAAGGCCAAAATGACATTCCTCGCAAATTTTGAAGTATAATTAGTGGAAAAGTCAAAGGTTTGTTAACTTTTTCCACTAATTGAAAATTACTACCACTAATTATGACGTTCTGAATGCTTACATTAAAAATAGGTGAACAAACTTCTACGGCTAATTGAAACTACTAATTTATTCCACTGATTTCGGGGTTCTGAATGAAGCTTTATTAATATGTAATATGTCAAAGAGGCACAACATTTATTCAGTTCAATGTTACAGAAATTATGATGTTAATCAAAATTAAAATAAAAACCATCTATCAAAGAATGAAAACGAAATGCTATTACCATAGAAACGCCTTTTGATTTTTAGACTTTTGGGAAAAATTCAACTATTATATTATTTTTTTATTTTTCTCTAAAACGGTATGGAAATTTAGAAAAATACAAACAGGATTAGTCATTTTCAAAACGAACAAAAATGTGAAGACAATCTGGGGACATACATAATATTAATTTATCTATATTTTTATTACCTTGCAAACAGAGTTTCACAAATCGAACATTTGTGTTGGCCTTCATCTGTCAGAGCTTCATGTAACTTCAAATGACGGATCAAATGCTCGCCTCTACTAAACGGTTTATTACACGTAGTACAGACATACGGTTTATTAATATGTTGTTGTTCTATATGTTGCTTTAGAAGATCTTCAGTGAAAAAGGCCTAAAATTGTCATTATTTATTTTAAATAATTAATAATTTTCTTTTTCTAAAATAATCTTTAATCACTACTCACCTGATCACAGCGATCACACTTATGAGTTAGTACAGATCTATGAAGCGTCATGTGCCTTGTGAGATGATTAGCCCTGGCAAACTGAGCTTCACACACGTGACATACATGGACTTTATTTTTAGACGTTCCATCAATTTCGTCAATGACTGTAACATCAAATTCCTCTAGTCCATCTAGTTTTGGTAAATTTTCATCCAATGGCTGCTCCTCTCCATTTGCTTGACAATTTTCATCATTTGTTTGACAATTATTCTCATCATTTGCTTCTAAAAGAAATAGATATTTTGCATTTTTTCAATCGTAAAATAGAGAAAAGATGTTTTTAAATAAAATCTGTGTTTTAGACCACAATTGTGCAGCTGGAAAAAAGTGGCAATGAAAATGTGCTAATGATTTCGGATACCTTGTCAACGTCAAACAAAAATAAAATCAAAATCTTCAATTTTCAGTGTTCTCTAATATCTCCGGATCGACACGGAATTTTAAATGTTTCTAAACGGCATATTATTACGCACATTAATAAAGCGGAATTGAAGAACCTTGAAGACTCCATCCGTAACCTGGAATGGAAATTCTCCAACGGTCTAAAGCTTGATTTTCATGCATCCGTTGTCCAACGATACGTTGATACGATATTAATTTTATAGGTTGAATTTAAAGGCTTCGATTGGTTAACGATTTCTAACCAATTGAAGTCTTTAAATTCAACTAATAAAATGAATGTCGCATCATCGTATCGTCGGATAACGGATGCATGAAAATCGAGCTTAAGGCACTCGAAAAAATTCCTCAGAACTTACGACCGAGTAAAAACAATCTTCGGATTGTCACTGGGTTTTTAACAGGACACTGGGCGCGTTCAGGGAACACGCCGCAGACATTCAGCGTAGAATCTCGCTGACCCTTGATTTATGACGTTTTACGTTTTTTTTATTCCCTAAACAGCAAAAAGAACAAGAAACAGCAGCAGAATGTCGAAGATGGAGAGCTAGTCTCTGTGGAGCTGTCTCAGATACTGGCTTTTGTCGACGCCCTGAGACTGTATGATGAATTGTAACTCGGTATAACTCAAGAAAGGGGAACACACAATAGATCTGTAAGGTTGCGGTGATTAACCTCCCTCCTAAACATTCTACGCACATGAATGCACAACTTTACCCGAATTTAACCATGCATCATATCTTCTATAGTTATTGAGATTCCAATGGTGGGTGTCGAATTTGAATTACCCTGTAGATTAGAAAAGCAGAGGAATATATTTTCTTCTTCTCTTTATTAGAATTTCACGTATTTAACATTTTTTGAGGTTGTATGAATGTTTTACACCAAAACGTAAATAATAGGTAAGATACTTTTAAATGCACATAAATATTAGGTAAGCTTTCCCGTGCACACGCTCGCATTGTTAAATCATTCAAAAATAATTAAGTAAATTATCTAAGCCTAATTAATTAATAAGTCCTACCTTCACTTTTTACATTACTTTGGCTTGTAGTATTTCCTAAATTATCCTTCTCCAGTTCAAATTCAATGTCAGACATACCATGCTCTGCTTGCATGTGATGCACATAACTTTTTCTATACTTAAACTTTCTATCACAAAATTCACATTCTCTGACCTAGAAAAAATTGTAAAACATTTAACATTACTACAAATAATATTATTGTTATTCTATCTAAATTAATAATTAATATTATTAATAAATTTGTAAAAATAAATTATTTATAAACTATAATATTAATTAATTAATATTACTTGGTATTTATCATTCTCAATGAAATTTTGGGTCTTTGTGACGAACAAGTCCCCATGAATTAGAGCTTTATTTAACTTTTAAAACAGATCCCATAGTTCATGGAAGTTTAAAAGAAAAAAAATTGTTGGATGAATGACTTTTTCTATGAAAAAAAAATAAAATTTCGAAATTTTCACAATTCCATGCGAAAACTCTTATTATAACGTTCATAATGCGAGGAAAATTTAAGGTTTCAATTCACGAATATGTTAGCAATAACTGAATCAATTTATAAATTTAGTTTATAATTCAGGTGCTAGGGGGAATCCCCTCTGGCACTTTGGCTGGGTCTAAGAAGCACCTCATTGTCTTTTCCCGGGCTATAGTGTCGTGGCCAGGCTCTGCCAGAACTTCAATGTAAGGACATTGAGTTGGCGAGTCATCAACTTGAGGGAGAAGGGCCATGGTCGGGTCCTCACAATAAGAATTAGCCTCAAATCCAAGAAAGCAATAGAGAACGAGATATATATCCTCTATTATAGATTCGGAAAAACACCGGTATCGGGTCCAAGACCAAGTTAAAGAGATGGCAGCAGGAGACAAGCTCCTCGACTGTGAAAGGCACGGAGGGGTAAATCCCAACCGTGGAAGGGTGTATACCTTCATAGGAGGTAGATGTCCACTCCTCGGAGGATAAACAGCTGTTGTCAGAAGAGGATAGAAAATACCCTGTCCTCCCTACAACTGGAAGATCTCCATGTATGATGTATGTCTATAGACATGTATATGTATGTCTATAGACTGTATGATGAGTTATAATTCAAGAAAGGAGGGCACAATAGATCTTTAAGGTCGCGGTCATTAGCCCTCCTTCCACTCATTCTACATTTTAATTCTGATGTTTTTGCTGAATCTGTATAGAAAATTTTATAAAGTTAAAAAAAGTTGTTTAGAGAAAAAACAATTTCATCCAACAATTTTTATTGTTTAAAAATATTCAATTTAAGATAATCTGGCAATAAAAAACAGAAGTGTTTTTTTTTAAATGCGTGGGTAATTCTTCACAAAACCGATTTTTTTAAAAGGATATATCCATATAAATTGTACTATTTCTCGATTTAATAATATTGTTATTATTTGTTTTCTATTATCTTTTAATGTATAATTGAAGAATAATTATAAAATGTTGGTTATTCAATAAATAAGTTAGCGTGTTTATAGCATGTTTAATTTTCTAACATGTTTTATGCATTAAGAGCTCAAATGCACTGACGACCAGGTCGCAGCGACCAGCCAACGGCCAAGCCATTAAATCAAATGATACATTGCTGGTCGCAGCTCTCTAAGCTAGACGGCTATAAAGGCCTCTAAAAATGCTTGATTACGCTGTAAAAATAGGCTTATTTTATTTATATTACCTTTTTCTCTCCCTTTAATTTATTTTTTCCATTAAAGATACCGTGTGCTCGTAAATGTCTATTAAGATGGCTCTTTTTGGTAAAAGATTTATCACAATGCTGCAAATAAAAATTTAACATAAATATTTTTATATCAAACAATACTTTATGGACAACTGACATCTACGTTACAGCTTGCTAATTCTGCACCTGTGTGTTTTCTCATATGAACTCTAAGTCCATAGTATGTAGTAAGTACTTTACTGCATTCCTTACATTCATATAAAGTAGTAGGTTCCTAAAATAAGGAAAAATATTTCCTTTATCCATAATAAATATAGGTATTTAAATAACCACTCAGTATAAATCGTCGGTGAAATGTGATAAACTGCTAACTCCATTATTCCTAATATTCCAGGAGAGCAAAAAAACGGTACAAAAATATGTACAGGGACATCATTTTAAGTGTCTCACTCGATTTATAATTTTCCTGTTTGGTATTTAAAGATAATAGAAAGATTTCATAATGTAATTTTTCGCGAGGATGCCGATTCTCTACACCAAAATTTTTTAAAACGTCAATTTTGACAGATACGACGCCATTTGATTTTTTTTAAATGGAAACCCCCACATATTTTAGCATGGTCCGGTAGACATATTTTAGCTAATTTCAAAAATATATAGTTTAGTATACTTTGCACTTACCGTTTTCGATATACAGTGGATTTAAAAATGAATTGTTCCAGAATCATTTTAAGTGTCTCACCCAATTAAAAATTGTCCTCTTCACTATTTTAAGATAGTAAAAATATATTTCAATGTAATTTTTCGCGAGGATGCCGATTTTCTACATTAAAATTTTTTACAACGTCAATTTGGACAGATACGACGCTATCTTGATTTTTTTTTAAATGGAAACCCCATCATATTTTAGCATGGTCCGGTAGACATATTTTAGCTAATTTCAAAAATATATCATTTAGTATACTTTGCACTTATCGTTTTCGATATACAGTGGATTTAAAAATGAATTGTTCCAGAATCATTTTAAGTGTCTCACCCAATTGAAAATTTTCCTCTTCTCTATTTTAAGATAGTAAAAAGATATTTCAATCTAATTTTTCGCGAGGATGCCGATTTTCTACATAAAATTTTTTTAAAACGTCAATTTTGACAGATACGACGCCATCTTGATTTTTTTTAAATGGAAACCCTATCATATTTTAGCATAGTCCGGTAGACATATTTTAGCTAATTTCAAAAATATATAGTTTAGTATACTGCACTTACGGTTTTCGATATACAGTGGATTTAAATATGAATTGTTCCAGAATCATTTTAAGTGTATCACCCAATTTAAAATTTTCCTCTTCTCTATTTTAAGATAGTAAAAAGATATTTCAATGTAATTTTTCACGAGGATGCCGATTTTCTACATTAAAATTTTTTAAAACGTCAATTTTGACAGATACGACGCCATCTTGATTTTTTTTAAATGGAAACCCCATCATACTTTAGCATGGTCCGGTAGACATATTTTAGCTAATTTCAAAAATATATAGTTTAGTATACTTTGCACTTACGGTTTTCGATATACAGTGGATTTAAATATGAATTGTTCCAGAATCATTTTAAGTGTCTCACCCAATTTAAAATTTTCCTCTTCTCTATTTTAAGATAGTAAAAAGATATTTCAATGTAATTTTTCGCGAGGATGCCGATTTTCTACATTAAAATTTTTTAGAACGTCAATTTTGACAGATACGACGCCATCTTGATTTTTTTTAAATGGAAACCCTATCATATTTTAGCATAGTCCGGTAGACATATTTTAGCTAATTTCAAAAATATATAGTTTAGTATACATAGCACTTACCGTTTTCGATATACAGTGGATTTAAAAATGAATTGTTCCAGAATCATTTTAAGTGTCTCACCCAATTTAAAATTGTCCTCTTCACTATTTTAAGATAGTAAAAAGATATTTCAATGTAATTTTCCGCGAGGATGCCGATTTTCTACATTAACATTTTTTAAAACGTCAATTTTGACAGATACGACGCCATCTTGATTTTTTTTTAAATGGAAACCCCATCATATTTTAGCATTGTCCGGTAGACATATTTTAGCTAATTTCAAAAATATATAGTTTAGTATACTTTGCACTTACCGTTTTCGATATACAGTGCATTTAAAAATGAAATCTTTAGAATTATTTTAAGTGACTTATCCAGTTTACAATTTTCGAATTTTAAAATTCTTGAAAATGTCAAATTTGACAATTACGACGCTTAAATTTTTTTATCTATTTATACTTTGATTCTTCAATATGACCTTTACATATGGGGTGATTCCGGAAACTTATAACAGCATATTTTGCAGATAAAAATAAGTAAAAAAGTTCGTATAAGTGTCCTAACATGCTTAGTTTCGGAGATACAGGGTGTAGAAGTATCATTTTTATTTCGATTTTTTCCAAATAATTTGTGAAGTAACGTTAATACTTTGATGAAAATTGGTGTCTGGGAGATTTTTGATATGAGAAATGTGATTTTGATGTCAATATAAATCCAATTTCTAGGGGGCGCCACATACACGTGGTTTAACTGTTTTGAAGAGTAATAACTTTTCGTCCGTACTACTGAGTATACGTACTATAAAACTACTGAGTGAAAAAATATTCATTTATAACAATTTTTACGTAAAAAAGGTCTGTTGGTAAAAATTGTTACGAGTAATGGTTCTCGAGATATTGGGAATCGAAATTATCAATACCTGTCATCATTGACATATATTAAACATGTGGAGTTACTAGACTGAAATCATAAATTTGAAATGTTTTTTTGCCAAAAGTTCAACAGAAACTGTTTTATCATCATTTTTCCGCAGAAAAAATTATAATTAATTTAAAAAAATTAAAATTTCCCACATTTATTATTTCAGCCAAATATCTATCTACTCAACGTGTTTATTTTTTTATCAATAATGACATGTATTGACTATTTCCATTAGAAATATCTTGAGAAAGGTTGCTCGTACTGATTTTTACCAAGAGACATTTTTTACGTAAAAAGTCAAGAAAATGTATATTTTTTTACTCAATAGTTTTATACAGGTATGGGCGAAAAGTTATTACTTTTCAAAACAGTTAAAACACATGTAGGTGGCGCCCCCTACAAATAAGAGTCATATTGACATCAGAATCAAGTTTCTCATGTTAAAAAACTCCCAGACACGAATTTTCAGCCAAATATTGACGTTACTTCAGAAATTAATTCGAAAAAATCGAAATAAAAATGAAACTTCTACACCCTATATCTCCGAAACTAAGTATTGTAGGACATATATTTTTTTTACTTATTTTTATCTGCAGAGTATGCCGCCGAAGTTTCTGGAATACAGTTCGGACCACCCTGTATATAAAAAAATGAAAATTTAGTTTTAAACTGCTAGTCATTTATCATAAGATAGCTCAATTTACGTAAATTTCATGCATTTGGATACAAATACCACTCAGTTGTAAGTGAATGGCATTCATATTCAAATACATAAAAATTAGAGGAATTCTTGATTTCAACCCCCTGTATATAGAAAACGGTAAATGCAAAGTACACTAAACTATATATTTTTGAAATTAGCTAAAATTTGTCTACCGGGCAGTGTTAAAATTTGATGTGGTTTCTATTTAAAAAAATCAAGATGGCGTCGTATCTGTCAAAATTGACGTTGTAAAAAATTTTAATGTAGAAAATCGGCATCCTCGTGAAAAATTACATTGAAATATATTTTTACTATCTTAAAATAGTGAAGAGGACAATTTTAAATTGGGTGAGACACTTAAAATGATTCTGGAACAATTCATTTTTAAATCCACTGTATATCGAAAACGGTAAGTGCTATGTATACTAAACTATATATTTTTGAAATTAGCTAAAATATGTCTACCGGACCATGCTAAAATATGTGGGGGTTTTCATTTAAAAAAAATCAAGATGGCGTCGTATCTGTCAAAATTGACGTTGTAAAAAATTTTATTGTAGAAAGTCGGCATCCTCGCGAAAAATTACATTAAAATATCTTTTTATTATCTTAAAATAGAAAAGAGGAAAATTTTAAATTGAGTGAGACACTTAAAATGATTCTGGAACAATTCATTTTTAAATCCACTGTATATCGAAAACCGTAAGTGCAAAGTATACTAAACTATATATTTTTGAAATTAGCTAAAATATGTCTACCGGACTATGCTAAAATATGATAGGGTTTCCATTTAAAAAAAATCAAAAATGGCGTCGTATCTGTCAAAATTGACGTTGTAAAAAATTTTAATGTAGAAAATCGGCATCCTCGCGAAAAATTACATTAAAATATCTTTTTACTATCTTAAAATAGAAAAGAGGAAAATTTTAAATTGAGTGAGACACTTAAAATGATTCTGGAACAATTCATTTTTAAATCCACTGTATATCGAAAACGGTAAGTGCAAAGTATACTAAAATATATATTTTTGAAATTAGCTAAAATATGTCTACCGGACCATGCTAAAATATGTGAGGGTTTCCATTTAAAAAAATTTAAGATGGCGTCGTATCTGTCAAAATTGACGTTGTAAAAAATTTTATTGTAGAAAATCGGCATCCTCGCGAAAAATTACATTAAAATATCTTTTTATTATCTTAAAATAGAAAAGAGAAAAATTTTAAATTGAGTGAGACACTTAAAATGATTCTGGAACAATTCATTTTTAAATCCACTGTATATCGAAAACGGTAAGTGCAAAGTATACTAAACTATATATTTTTGAAATTAGCTAAAATATGTCTACCGGACCATGCTAAAATATGTGGGGGTTTCCGTTTAAAAAAAATTAAGATGGCGTCGTATCTGTCAAAATTGACGTTGTAAAAAATTTTATTGTAGAAAATCGGCATCCTCGCGAAAAATTACATTAAAATATCTTTTTACTATCTTAAAATAGAAAAGAGGAAAATTTTAAATTGGGTGAGACACTTAAAATGATTCTGGAACAATTCATTATTAAATCCACTGTATATCGAAAACGGTAAGTGCAAAGTGTACTAAACTATATATTTTTGAAATTAGCTAAAATATGTCTACCGGACCATGCTAAAATATGTGGGGGTTTCCATTTAAAAAAATCAAGATGGCGTCGTATCTGTCAAAATTGACGTTGTAAAAATTTTAATGTAGAAAATCGGCATCCTCGCGAAAAAATTACATTAAAATATCTTTTACTATCTTAAAATAGAAAAGAGGAAAATTTTAAATTGAGTGAGACACTTAAAATGATTCTGGAACAATTCATTTTTAAATCCACTGTATATCGAAAACGGTAAGTGCAAAGTATACTAAACTATATATTTTTGAAATTAGCTAAAATATGTCTACCGGACCATGCTAAAATATGTGGGGGTTTCCATTTAAAAAAATTTAAGATGGCGTCGTATCTATCAAAATTGACGTTGTAAAAAATTTTATTGTAGAAAATCGGCATCCTCGCGAAAAATTACATTAAAATATCTTTTTACTATCTTAAAATAGAAAAGAGAAAAATTTTAAATTGAGTGAGACACTTAAAATGATTCTGGAACAATTCATTTTTAAATCCACTGTATATCGAAAACGGTAAGTGCAAGTATACTAAACTATATATTTTTGAAATTAGCTAAAATATGTCTACCGGACCATGCTAAAATATGTGGGGGTTTCCATTTAAAAAAAATCAAGATGGCGTCGTATCTGTCAAAATTGACGTTGTAAAAAATTTTAATGTAGAAAATCGGCATCCTCGCGAAAAATTACATTAAACTATCTTTTTACTATCTTAAAATAGAAAGGAGGAAAATTTTAAATTGGGTGAGACACTTAAAATGATTCTGGAACAATTCATTTTTAAATCCACTGTATATCGAAAACGGTAAGAGCAAAGTATACTAAACTATATATATTTGAAATTAGCTAAAATATGTCTACCGGACCATGCTAAAATATGTGGGGGTTTCCAATTAAAAAAAAACAAGATGGCGTCGTATCTATTAAAATTGATGTTTTAAAAAATTTTGGTGTAGAGAATCGGCATCCTCGCGAAAAATTACATTAGAAAATCTTTCCACTATCTTTAAATACCAAACAGGAAAATTATAAATCGAGTGAGACACTTAAAATGATGTCCCTGTACATATGTAGGAAGTATTTTAAAGCGTTAATATGATAAGAGATAAGAATTTTATTTGCTGGGGAACAATAAAACTCAATATTTCGTGTTACATCATTTTTTCAGACATAATAGGGAGATAGCAGATATTCGTCTTGCAGAATTAAGAAATAAAAATATACTTCTGGTTTGGATGGAATTGAATATTACCCAAACAGATAATCAATTAAATTTAAAAAAAAATGATATTCATACCATAAAAAATATTTATCTTTAGTAAGAATATATCACTATGAATATAGTTTCAAAGTGTGCTATGATTGCTCATTTTATAAAAAAGATGGGAGCGAAAAACTCAAACAGCAAACCTCATACTTATAATGCTTTGTTAGAAATCTATACACCTGTTAAATTTAATAATATACCTGTTAAAGTTTAATCTTTAAAAACAATGTAATGAAAGAATGTTACAGTAATACGCCCTGTAATTTATTTCAAAATTTAAATAACTTCCAATACATTCCTAACAATAATATAAACATTATTTGAAATAATTTTTCATACAGAATCATTTTTTTCTTAAAAATCAACTCTAATGCAAAAGTTAAATTATCTTTGAAATAATATACAAGCCCTAACAACTATATGTTGGGACAAGGTCTTTTTTTGCAATAAAAATAGTAATTTGTTAAAACGACTCAATTTATTTTGTTTATTATTCTAAATTCAAACATTACAATATGATCTAGACAATTTTACTATATTTTTATAACTTTGCAAACAAATCACTTTTGATAATAGCTTATTTTGCCAAAATCAAGCCAAATTTGCTGGCAACTATATATTCGGACAGCACAACAAGAAATTTGTTTAATACGGAGTTACATCACCTTTCGCCTTAACAACTGCCTGAACTCTTAATGGCATTGTATTTACCAAAGATTGGCATATTTGAGGAGAAAAATGATCCCAAATTTCCTGCAGTTTTGCCCACAAATCAAAAATTGTTCGTTGAGGGTGGTTTCTTAAATATTGCTTCATTTTATGCCACACAGTTTCTATAACATTGAGGTCCGGACTACTTGCAGGATGGGATAGAACTTTTATATTATTATTACCGAACCAATTTTTAGTTGATTTTGCTGAATGGCACAATGCTCCATCTTGTTGAAAAATATAGTTTTCGTTTGGAAACAATTCTTGAGCACTAGGCAAAAGTGAGGTCTCAAGTATATGTTGATATTTTTGGGCGTTAACAGTGCCATCTATAAAATGTAATTTGCCCAAACCTCTTGCTGACATGCAGCCCCAAACCATAATCCCCCTAGGAAATTTAACAACCCTCTTTAAGCAATCGTTATGAAAGGCTTCTGCTTTATTTCGTATTATTCTTTTTCGATGATCTCCAACGCAAACATCAAATTTAGACTCATCGCTAAATATGACATTATTCCAATCATTTTGGATCCACGATAATTTAGATTTTGCCCAATTGTAGCGATTTTTCTTTTGAATTTCTGTCAGTAGCGGTTTTTCTTTGGCCTAAATAAGAATTTGTATCAATAATCTTCAGGTAATTGATTATCCACACAAAATAAAGTTTACCTTGTAAAACCCCAGACCGCATTTATGGATATATTTTCGGCAACATTCTCTTGATATATTTAATCCAGTTACAGTATTCCATTTAACTGTTACTTTGCGAAGAGTACTTCTCGCAGACTTGCAAATTTTTACGAAATTTCGTAAATCTCTCTGAGATACAACTTTTGGCCTTCCCGAACTTTTACCTCTAACGCCTACACTGGCAGATTCGCCGTATTTTTTTATTATATTAAAGACCGTGGTTTTTGGAATACTTAAATCATCAGAAATTTTTCGAATTGTTTTTCCCGTACTGTATTGACGATTGATAATTTCGCGTAGTTTTTGATTTGTAGCTTTTCCACGGACCATTACTTTGGATTAAATTAACAAAATTGAAAATTAAAAAAATTAAAATTACTTACAGTAAGTCTCACTACTCAAAGTATCAAGTCACATACAAGTTGTCAATGCTGAAGTAAACAGTTTGCGACATTTGTGACGTTTATAGCAAAGCCGCCTATGATATTAATTATTTAAAAATACTTGTTCCAACATTTAGTTGTCAGGCAAATTTGTCCTTTTATGAACAAAATCCGCTACTGTAAATATGGTTTGATTTACAAATTCTTAAAAATAGTGTCAAGTTGTTTAGGATATATGGCTATGTTTATATTTAAAAAATTAAACATATATTTTTCAGTCATTTTGAAAAACCAGGGCAATAATTCCAAAATATGACCTTATCCCAACATATAGTTGTTAGGGCTCGTATAAAACACTAAAATGAACATGGTTCTGCCAGTAGCGTGCAGAGCAAATCAAAGCAGGGTAGGCAAAATGTGGCACGTCACAGAGATCAGGGATAAAAACCAACAACTGGCATCATCCAGCACCTGACGAGAATTACTCCCAATATCGGAGAACCTCGCGAGGAAAAAATAAAACTTCTGGCTTCGGTTGGTTTTGTCCATTCGACCAGACTCTACGCATCCCCAATCTTGGACAGATCCATGCGCTTCTAACATTATGACAACATTCTAGAAAGAATAAAGAGGAAGATAGCACTCAGGGTTGCATCGTCATAGTGCACATGGATCGATCACCTACTGATCGAGGAAAGAAACCAAATATATAAAAACAGAACCTCTTTCCGGAAAGAGGCCTGAAATATTGTGCTAGTGCGATGGCCGATGGCAGACACGATGGCAAGCATATAGCAGGTGGACAAAGATTTTCATATCTAATATCAAAGATTGGATAAAATGCAACCAAGCAAATTCGGACTACTACATCATGGACTGGCAATGGAGTCTTTGGCGAGTATCTGCACAGGATCCGCAAGACAGACTCTTCTACATACTGGTATTGCGAGGCGTCAGACTCTGCCAACCATACACCATTTGTGGGTCACGCGCACGACGATATACGGGAAAATACAGAAACAGTATGTGGTACGAAGATCACGAGAGTAAACGTCGGAAACCTTCTGACATTATCGAATGGAAATATCGAAGCGATTTGCAGGATGTTAAGGAACATTATAAAAAAAAAGGAAAAGGACGAAAAAGACAAGACTTAGGTACAGGCAAGACAACATTGAAGAATAGATAAGTCTCTAATCTCGATGAAATGCCTTCGGCGCAGGCGGTACCGAGATTGTGGAGCTTAGAGCACCAATAGCAGCGACGATTCTCGTGGCTGAAGCAAAAATAACTGGTAGTTATATAACTGATGGTAGTTATATACTTGTTTCATCTAGATGGCATGGTACTACATTATATGCAAACCCCTGGTTTTATTCAATTACTAATATACCTTCTTTCTTGGTCTGCCTCTTTTCCGCTTTGGTTGTTCAGCAAAACAATCATTTTTGCTCTCCGAAGAATAATTCTCAACATCATTATTATCTCTATCAACGTCATCATCACTGAATGGAAACTGACTGAGAGGTAGGAGATCTGCAGAATCATCATCCTAAAATAAATTAATTATCCTATTAATAATTTCTTGTATCTTAGTTGTTCTAGTAAACCTTTGTTATAGCTTTTTGTTCAAAAATATCACCATCCTCTTTAGTTATAACTTCTTCAGTAAATTCATTTTGCTCACATGGTGTATCTCCATCCAAGTTATTTTGATCATTACTTACTGTCTCATATTTTTCCGATTTAATTTCTAATATAATATCTCTATCAAGGTCTATTTTATGTTTCTTTTCCACCTAAATAATAACAATAAAAGAAGTTAAGTTGTTTAAAAGTAAATTTAAGAAATTTGGTCACCTCCTCTATATGCATTTTCATATGATTAAATAAATCCATTGTTATGGAAAATTTTTCAGAACATATCTTACATTTTTTCTTATGTCCTGATTTATCATGTTTTTTCATATGTCTCACTAAATGATTTGTACGGGTATATTTTGAAGAACATAATGGACAGTACCTTAAAAAAAAATGACAGATTTCAAATAAAAATTTGTATATTATTTATATTCCTAATAATGCATTAACTTAGTCTTAAAATGTCTCTATAATTTTTTTAAAATTTGAAATGAACAACTTTTTACAGACCCACCTCATTCCATCACCAGTATGTTGTCTAATATGTATTCGCAATCCTCTTTTATTACTAAAAACCTTTAAACAATATGAACAAGTTAACTCAGTAACATCTTGTTTAAACCTTTTGGCCAAAGGTAAATCATCTTCATCCTAAATAATAGACAAAATCAGACACTGCATTCTAGAAAAACAATTTTTTATGCTTTACCTCTTCAAATAAGCCTTCATGAACATCAGGTTGCACAATAATATTTTCTTCTCTTTTTGATTTACCATCTTGATTTGCAATTTCCCTTAAAGCCGAGTCAGATCTCTCACACTGTTGTTTAAATTCAAATGCTGTACTTAGTTTGTTCTCACATGTTAAGCAAAGTAAATAAGGTAAACCATCACCTTCTGCTACCTGAAATAGTAAAGTGAATAAGAATTAGCAACTTCAACTAATGCATCTTTCAACAACATTTAATAGATATTCAATTATTGGTACGTTTAATATAAAATAGATCTTTCTGCATAGTTAGGTTCAATATAATCATATCCCATGTATCTAATTATCTTTGCAACCTATTCATAATAAAGGATCACATTTTCTTAGTTGTAATATATTTGTATATTGTTGATAAATTAATTTTATATGTATTTTGTATGATCATTTACCTCTACAGAGGCGCAAGCCATGAGCATATCTGATAGAAGCATTGGTTCTTCTGACGATCCTGCACTTTTCTTAAATACATTTTGCATTTCATCACTTTCACACATGCAAGATCGACAGATTTTGTCTATCATAAATTGAATATCTTCAGGAATCATCTTGAATATTAAAAAATAAATAATGCTAGAATAAAAACATTGCTATATTTTGATAATGACAATTATGACAATAGATGACAGCTGACAGATGGCCAAGAACGTCTTCAAATTATAGATTACTGTAACTGCAAGGTCATGTCTTTTTAAATCTTTGGAAATACACCATCCCTGAAAAGTCATATATAATTAAAATAATTGTGTACCCTTTGGTACCCCTGTTTTTTCCTATCACCATCCTATCCCTAATCAAGCGCACTACATAGGAGATAGGCTGGATAACTTTAGCAGTTGTAGCTTGTGACCATAAAATAATGAACTAATGAAGAAGAAAGAAGTTGAAAAAGTTTAATTGAAGAATAGAAGAAATAGTCCATTCTGAAGACCAAACACGGAGGGTATGGATTCGTTCCAGATGCCTGAAAGGGCGCTCTCAGTGATGAAATAGAAGAAATGGAGATAGGAAATCTATCCACGGGCCGTATAGTCCAGGCAGCTAAAGGCCGTTAAACTGAAGGAAAAAAAAAACTAACGAAGAAGAAAAATTAAAATGTAACCTATATAATTTTGATATTTGAGATTAAATTGATATTCGAGATTAAAAATATTTGTAATTTGTAAAAATTTAGTAGGAATAGTAGTTAATAATATACATATTTATTTAAATAAAACTTAGTAAGTATAGAGGAACTTTTATCTACATGTGGTTTTTTTTTAAATAATAATGTCCAATAAAGAAAACAAACCAGGTGATGGTATACGTTCCTTGAAATCTACAAACTTATTCCGAGCAGTAAATTTTGAACTTTACGTAAAACCTGTAAGTAAACTAAATAATGTATTCATTCTATATATAATAATAATATTTAATATATATTTTCCAATAAATTAAACGAACTGTAAAAATGTACTGTTATAAACTCCAAATAGATTTCTATAATTTAAGAACTTAAATTTTAGAATATCGTTGTTATGGGTTTAGGATTAACAGCACTTGCCGGATGTTTTGGATATATTGCTTATATGAGATACAAATATGAAAGTTTAGGATACTATGGTGCAATTAAAGATGATGGATCTGAAGAATTTTTAAAAAAGAAATCTAGATGGGATTAATTGTTCTACTGTATTGTAAATATGTAAATTATTTAGTTAATAAATAGTAAAATTAAATTAGGTTCAAAATATATAAAATAATCTTTTAATAGATGTCCAAAAAAATGACAGAAAATACAATCTACTTGTTAACTAAGATGACAGAACTATTGTCATGTATTTTCAGATTGCACAGATGTTTGTTGGGCACAAATGGAAAGGTACCGTATGATCGAATAAAAACGGCGTCAGCGATGAAATGAAGATCGCTGTCATTTTATATGTTAAATTAATTGGGAAATGTCATCGATCGTCATTTCCAAGCCAACTGGACGACGTTTTTTTTTCGATCATACGGTATATAAAAATGTAACTTAGTGATGTATCATTGCATTCAATTCAAACAACAAATTATCACACACAAACAATTTCTGGGATGAATACTTACAATTTCAAACTATTTTATAATTTCAAAATTAATAGGTATAACGACTAATTTTAAACTTTAATTAAGAAAATACATATTTGTTCTGTTTAAAACATTTTAATTATCAAAAAGTATCACAAAAATAAAATAAATATATATAAAAGATAAATTTTACATCACATTGGTTAAAAAAAATATTGGTAGTTCAAATACATCGACCTGCGACATTGAACCTAATTTTCAATGATAATAAAGGTATAATAAATATTCAATTTTTGAATATTTATTATTTATTATACCTTTAAATAAAATGATAGCAATCTTCATTTCATAGCCATCGCCATAGAATGTATCGTATGATCGAATAAAAACGGCGTCAGCGATGGCTATGAAATGATTATCGTTGTCATTTTATATGGAAAACGTCATCGATCGTCACTTTTAGGCCAACTAGACGCCGTTTTTTCGATCATACGGTATTTTGAGTGCGTTCCACTAAGTACTCCTAATGCTCAAAATATGCCTTCGGTCGTTCCACATGACGATCGCGAACGTTGTGGTCGCGGCGTAAACGTCACTAATGACGTCATTATTTTCGCTCACGCCGAGCTCACAACGACCCATCTGAATATTAGGATCGAAGTGGACGTTGAGGAATTTTGGCGCAATTTTTTAAACTTAGACAAAAGATTATCGACTTAGGATAAAAAATTTTCATAGATTCTCATAGCCAATAATACGTGGCCTAAGTGTTCGTTTTTTACATCGCGATATTGTAAAATTGCATTCCACTAGTCGTCTGAACTAGATGAAGAAGTTTCAGACACATTCCGATGCACCAAATATCCAACTGTCGCCAAAGACATTTTGATTTCTTTTTTTAGACAGATTTTTTGAATTCTCTTCTGTGATTTTGACTATTATTTACTATTTATTTACATACATTGACAGGATTGACGCTTAAAACTTAAAACGCCCCATAACCCATTCCACTTGAGTTTATGATTGTAACGCTCGCAAGCAAGTGGAACGGGAAAAATCGCGATCTTGAGCGTGAACGTTATGTGTGCTTAGTGGAACGTACTCTTTGTATAGTGGACAGTTTCAAAAATATGTTTACTGAAAAATAAGGTTGATTAATTTTTGACACACACTATGGCAATATTTTTGGACACACCGTATAATAGTTATACCAGACAAATTAAATAAATTAATACATAAGACACATATGTATGAAGCTAAGTATATAAAGTATGTCCAACAAGACAGGGAAATTTTCGGAAGACATTCAAAAAAAATGACAGAAAATACTATTTATTTTTGAATTAGTATGACAGACAATTGTCAAGTATTCACTTGTTGAGACAGACTTTACATACAATGTGTTTCCGGTTTCAATAAGTTCAATACTCACAAATTAAACGTCAACTGTTTATGTCTAAAAAAAATTACATATGACCTCGATGATACGAATCGTACGTTATATATTTATCTGTCAAGATCCGAGTTCCTTCGGCAACATGTATTTGCCGGTTATCGTTAACATTATTGAGTAGGCGATTGTCAATCGTGACCAACCGATTATCATTTATAAGCGGTCTACCGGTATTATCTTGGACAAGCAACCGATTCGGCTCCACCACATTTACAACAAGTCTCGGATCGTTCACCAAAATTCTAGAGTTATCGTTTAGAATTGTTCGGTTATCGGTTAGGAAATGTGTGGCTTCGGTTAGTAACCTTGAGCTGTCGTGTACGTTATCACTTTGAAGCGTTCTCATTGGCTGTGCTTGTTGTAGCATCCGTGAATCTGGAACTTCAAATATAAACAAATGTAGTTTTAAAGTTGATTATGAAAACTTGAATAAATTCAATTTAATTATGAAATGAACATTGTAAATTGTTTATTAGCAACCTAATGGTAAATTTGTATGACTTAATTTTGGAACTTACAAAACTATAAACTGGAACTGTAAAATATATCAGTGGCGTGCAGTCCAAACCAAAGCAGGGTAGGCAAAAATTGGCAAAATATTAAAATAAAAATAGCAAGTAATTAATTAAGCAATCAATATAATTATTTTTTTTACTCTAAACTGGGGGAAAATTCTCAGATTTGGCATCACTCTGCAGTACAGTGACGAAATTAAATCACGCGTTATTTCCTCGTCCTCTTTTTACTCCCTTATCTCTTCCTTACGCATTGACCTCTAGTCATTGATGTGTAGGGTGGGTGGAGGATTCGCAAAGGCACAGCCTTTAATATCCCATTATTATTTAGAGGCAATGTAAAGTAAATTAATCCGCCTTCGAGTAAATCAAATAAAGCGCCTTTTTGAAATATACAGGGGTCCCAGAAATAAGTGCAAGTATTTTAAGGTGTGGTAGATCTCGATAAAAGAAACACATTTTCTCTTTAGCGTTTTTCAAATAAGTCCAAAATAACGGAGTTATTTTACTTTGAAAATTTAAAAAATGATTTTTTGCAAAAAATTTGGGAACCACTGGATCTTTTCTGGATTCCCTTTCTTATAAATTTAATCTACTACCTATGTTGCCATATTAACAAGAAATTATTTTTTTTAAATAAAAGCTAAAAAAAATAAAAACTTTCAAAAAATTCCGAATTTTCAAAAAAAAAATTTGCGAAAAAACCTAAAAACCTCATGTTTCTGGGGTTGAACTATATTACCAGTTAAAATACTTGCACTTATTTCTGGGACACCCTGTATATTGGAATTCCGCGATAACGCAGCAGTCGAAAATGATTTAAATATGTCTTAGGTAATTTATAGAATAAACAGAGAACAAAACCTTATTGCAAATATTTCTTATACTCTGTAATGATATTAAAAAAATATGATTTTGTCTGGGGTAGGCAATGCCTACAATATACCGGGTGGTGCATTGACGTTGGAAACATAGGAAATCCTATGTAAATTTTGAACTATCCAGATATTGGCTCCCCTGGTTGATTTTACAGCGAAGTCGTAAATAGGTTTATTAAAGGTCTGCGTATACTGGAATACATATGTCAGATATACATATTATGTCTAATTTAAGAAACACTGCATTTATTTTTAAGCTAAAACTGAACAGGTAACAATGCAAAACCTGTCAACATACCTTAAGTTGTCAACCTATGATTGAATGCAATTTGTTGTGCTGTCTGCGTTACTAAGTTATAGTAATAGTACCTACGGTTAAGTGTGCCCAATATGCATTTTTGTAAATTAAAACTTGTTCAAATTAAAACCTTGTTCAAAGCTTTACGGTTTAGGAAATATAATTTGACATTGACCAAATTATATGTTGACAACTTAAGGTATATTGGTATTTACCTGGTTTTTTGCATTGTTATCTGTTCAGTTTTAATTTAAAAATAGTTGCAGTTTTTCTTCAATTAGTTAGAAACGGCTTGCACAAAATCGTTCAAATTTGGCACGTGTTTTCAGCATGCCCAGACCTTTACGACTTAGCTGTAGAATCAAGGCTGCGTTCAGATATTCAGGGTAGAAGCACTCCGGACGTAACATTTACGTCCATAAGCGTTCTAAAATAAAAGATGTTTCTTCTAGGGAAGTACGTCCTAGTCGTTCATAAAATCAGATAACGTGTACTGGGGCGTTAAAATCTTATCCACCTTTTAAGTAGGGTAATTTTTACTCGACATGCGCATTACAATTTGTTTGTTGTGTCAATTACTTTTCTGTGGTTATATTATTTTATTTTGATTAAATATTTACATTTATTACTTTATTAATCACCGTTCTTCGTCTATGATCATCGTTTAATACGTATTATAAGGTATTACCTAAGTATCTGCCCAAAAGTATAAATTGTTTATGTTTACCGGTTTTATCGAACGTCAAAGTTGGCCAATGTCAATTGTCAAACGATCAAATTTCAATCGTTTTAAAATAGTGGAAATTCACAACCCAAGGTTGTGACGTCACGTCTACATAGACGTTCGTCTACAATACCTGAACGCGCCCAATAGGGGAGCTAATATTTGTACAGTTCAAAATTTGCATGGGATTTCCTATATTTCCAACGCCGATGTATACCACCCGGTATACACACCCCTGTAAGGATAGTTAATCAAAGTCTACTATATTACTTCCGGTTTAACTGACAAATGACAGTAAATAAATACACTTTTAGTTTTTGTTTATAAAGTCAATGTCAAAATGTATCTTAAAACTTCTTAAAATTTAGAATAAGAACTCGTCCTACAAATTTATTTAATAGCAGGTCATTTATTTTGGTAACTTAACAAAAAAAACACCTTTTTATTACCTTTTACCCTTTAAAAAAGGTTTAAAAAGGTACTGGAAAACCGGTTCATAAAATCCAAAACCGGTTTCAAATGACTCTAGTACTAATACTTATTATCTAATACGCATTATCTAACTCTAAATAGCATATCTACTATGTTAGGTTTGACTTTGTATAAAATATTGTTTAGCAATTTTTATTTTCATTGTATTTTTATTGATAATGGCAACTCCGCTCGATTGTAAAATGGTCCTTCCTTAATCTTTTATTCAAAACTTTTACTGGCAAAAAAACCACTGACAAGCTGTATTCATTTGAATTTAAACCAAAAAATAACTATTATCTACAACCGTTTAGTTATAACGTTTTTACATCACTATTTTTTTATTATGAGATTCATAACACAACTAGTGGTGTTATGAATCTATAACACAACTAGTTTTTATAATAATGAAAAACAACTACGAACATCTAAATATATTAACTTTTCCGGCAATAATGATTCCGTGGCACGTACTGCGGCAACTTCTACATCTGAAGGGAGACTTTCGGAATCGCTCATCGTAATTTTTAAAATGATTTTTCTGGGCAAAAAGTGCCCGAGTTTACTTGACAGGGCAAACTGACTTTTCAGAAAAAAATGTGACAAATGTCATAGTTAAAGGTGGGCTAAATATATAAAAATCGATAAACGAAAATTAAAACAGCATTTTCTTATTTTTCGGTTGTAGAAAAAAACATTGTACATGACACGTGCGTTTAAAAAAACCACTGACAAGCTGGATTCAGTTGAATTTAAACCAAAAAAATAACTACTATATTTTGTAGATTTTCTTCCAATGGCGATAAAATTCAGAATTACTTTCAAGAAATGAACCCGCCACAAAGATATACACATTATTTTCAAAAGATAGAATTGCCTTAACTTACTTGGTTGAATTAATCTGTTGGCGTTATCAATGACGATATGTTGCTGCGTCTGCTGTTGGTTGGAGTTGTACTTAATTTCATTATCGTATTTGGTTTCCTTTTCTTGGTCAAATTTGTCTGCATTCTGATGAACTTTCATATGAGTATGTAAAGTGCTAGACTGCGAAAATGCCTTTCCGCACGTGACACACACATACGGTCTCTCTCCAGAATGAACTCGCATATGACGAAGGAGAATAGTGTTTACTGTAAAGCCCCTGTTGCATACTGTGCACACGTATGGTCTTTCACCAGTGTGGTTGCGCATGTGATATTTAAGTTTCATTACTGTTGTAAATCTGAAAAAAAAACTTTCAAGTAATACAAAACGAGTAATAAAAAATCTGTCATTAGTTATACTGCAATATTACAAAGTATAGGCTTGGTGTATTCTCCGCCGGTGCTGCCACCATCGGAGAATACCGTAAATCGCCGACTAAACAAATATATGGGTTTAAATAACGAGCACACGAAAAAATTGTTATACATAATTATTCTAAAAGTGTTAGGCAATATAATTTGTGTGAATTAGAGATTTACCTGGCTAAATAGAGAAGAGTGGAGATTAGGTGACGAAAACGTCGTAGAACGTTCTGAACCGACTTATATATATAGGTCGAAATATACCAAGCCTATACATTACCTTTTTAAACAAACATTACACTCTATAGGTTTGTCTGTTCCATGAAGCCTTTTATGGCTTGTTAGGTCCCCAGATTGACGGAAAGCTTTTCCACAAAAATCGCACACGAATGGGCGTTCGTTAGTATGCGTGCGCATATGTATCTTCAGACTGGCTTTGGATACATAACCATTTTTACAAATTTCACATTCAAACGGTCTTTCCCCTAAAAAATAGAAAAGTAGTACTTAAGAATCTGAATAAATTTAGTGGTGTGTCTGGTTATGGGACTGTGAGCAGAAATGGACAAACACCCGGTGTATTGAAATTTTGGTAAATCCGAAGTTTTGCATCCGGTATATACCCAATGGGTAAATACTATACCGGGTGAGACAGAGAGAGTAACTGTCAACGCTACATATTGCTATTTGCAAGTTAATGGTGGGTTCATACAGCCAAATAAAATAAAATAAGAATAAAATAAAATAAGAAATAAGGAATTCTTATTTGTGTGCGTTCATACAGGCAAATAAAATAAAATAAGAAATATATATTTGCTCATGCGCAGTAGGATGAGGCTGGATAAAAGTTAACTTTTACGATTGTTTATAGTAATTTTACTATTTATAGTATATTTATTTATTCGTTGCCGGTACGTTGCCTACTATATTATACATTTTACTTATGCGAAATTAAAAAATAAATTAAATCCAAACTGAAAATATTTGTAGGTTAGAATTAAGCGTGCGCAAAGCCGTTTTCACATAAAATAAAACAAGAAGTTAAAAGATAAAGACTTTTTATTTTATTTGTTATTTTATTTGGCTGTATGAACGCATGTACGGTATCCCATATAACCAACTTTCTTATTTTATTTTATTTTATTCTTATTTTATTTTATTTGGCTGTATGAACCCACCATAAAACAGCAAATGAGTAGTTACAAGTATACAATAGAGATACTGGGAATCCCTAAACTCAGAATTTCGGCAGATTAAGTTAGCTAAACGAAGGCTATTTAGACTAAACATTAAGAATCACTTCAAGAAATTCTACAAAATATTTAAAGCGAACATTCTCGTATATGTCAATAGATGCGCGTTTGTGCTCGTACGTGCTCTTCTAAAGAAACATCCCCGTACATTGATACTGAACGTTCGCAAATGTTCGCGAACGTTTCCTCGTTACGAATGGGAACTTCGTTCACTCTATTACCACTAGTTCTTTTATAAACACTCAGTGTATACATTTAATTTTTATTGTTTTAATTACCAATTGAGAAAAATATTACAGAAGCGGTAATAGCATTCTTAATTTTAACATTTAAAGCTATTTTAAAATCACTATAATATATTTTTAAAATAGCGCTTTCTTTTTCACGTAAGTTTAGATTTTTTTAATACATTACAAGCTCTTCACAATTTTTATAAAAGAAAAAATCAAACAATTTTTAAAAACATTACAAATATTATTTTATAACTTATTATTGATTTGTTACAATGTTAAAGTTGAATCTGATTAAATAAGGTATATTACCTGTGTGTGTTCTGGAATGCAATTCAAGATTAAACCTTTGTGGAAAAGTTTTTCCACATATATTACATAGATACGGTCTATCGCCACTATGTTGTTTAATATGCACTGATAATGCCTCAGCACTTGGATATTCAGTTCGGCAATAATCACATATATGTTTCAATAATCCAGGATCTCCCTTTTTTTTCATGTGTATTTTCATATGTTTTAACAAACTATTTTCCGCGTAACATCCTTTATTACAAATTTCACATACATATGGTCTTTCACCAGTGTGCCTTGAAAGTTAACAAAAAAATACCTTTAAAAGATATCAATAAAAGTTGGCGGGCACGTCATCAAGTATTAGGGTATTTATTACAGTTTTTGTTTTCTTTCGAGATCTCGAACCTTATTACGACTAAAATTATTACTTTAGACTAAAAGGGGCCCTACACGCAACAATTTAATCTGATACCAAATAACAGATCAGATCTTAAGACTAAATTGATAGTTAAGTGATGTTTTCACACTACAGGGTCAGATTTTAGAAAAGATAATTTCGTCAGTCTATAGTCTAGTACAGTGATTCCCAAAGTGGTCCAGGTGGACCCCCAGGGGTCCACGGGAGACTTGCTGGGGGTCTACGTAGGCGTGAACAAAAAATGGGGGTCCATAAGATGTTAATGGGGGTCCACGAAAATTTATCTGCTTTTGATAGTAAAGAGCAAAAATGTAAGCATAGTTTTTATACTGTGGTAATAATGCTGATATAAAAAAATTGTATATGTATTGTAAAATAAAACACTAAATCACCACAAGTAAAAGTGTTTTGGTGTATTGTGGTGATTTAGTGTTTTATTTTACAATACATATACATTTTTTTTTATATCTGCATTATTATAAATAAAACACTAAATCAACACAATACACCAAAACACTTTTACTTTTACACTGGACGCGCGTTTCGCTAACCATGTTACCATCATCAGCAGATGATTATAAACTCTCAGTTTATAATCATCTGCTTATTATAAACTGAGAGTTTATAATCATCTGCTGATGATGGTAACATGGTTAGCGAAACGCGCGTCCAGTGTAAAAGTAAAAGTGTTTTGGTGTATTGTGGTGATTTAGTGTTTTATTTTGCAGTGTAACACCAAAGGTTCCAATCCTCAACTGTAATATGTATTGTGTTTAAAACTGAAGTGAAAAATCGGCAATACAAATCTTATTTGACACGTGTCAAACGCCAAAGTACAAAAAGTAGCCCTGGCAACACTACGACGCGCATTCGTTAAATATATACTTTGATGACATGAACGCCAACTTTTTTGATTTTCCTTATACAGGGTGTCCCAATATTCCGCAGACATAGATCTACGACGAATTTTTGGAATCAAAAAAAGTTAATTAGACACAATTTACCTCATTACAAAAGTGCTTCGTTAGTCCGTTAGAGGGCATCAAACTAAAAATAACTATAATCGGGAGATTAATATATTTAACCAAAATTGTGATATTTCACATATAATTCTAACTATTTGACAAATAATATCTTCTCTCCACCGAAATCAGCAACCCGTTGCCCCGGAAACCAACTGTTTTCACAGCCTACGACTCCGCATGTCGCAAATATCAGCGGACACTGGATGCGGGCACGGCGTGGCAATGACTGCCCATCACAAGGATCATAGGCGTTGGCGTCGATAACATAACATATTTTTTAAGATATTTAAAGAATCGTTATTCCGATTTGAATGAGATTTGGGATGCCTGTGTTTTGCTAAGTGTTTAAACATTTGACTTTAACAAAAATCAAGAAAAGGTACGCTAAGGTACCCCCTAAAAACTACTCTCACCCCTACGTAGATTTTAGTAGAAATATTTTCCAACTCCAACGACGACGACTCATTTTTTTCGTAAAATAGTCCTTCTAATATTTAGTATATTTTGTGCCTCTTGTAAAAAAAAGACGCTACTGCGTATACTTTTTGAGGAAAAAATATTTTTTTTTCGAAGTTGACTTGCAAAAAATGTTTCTTGTCACATCAAGCTATGTAGGCGCATAAAATCTAGTATGCTCTAATAATCTAGTTGGTAAAAATATGAAATTTTATGTTAGTATCACAAAATATATTTAATAATAAACTTCATAAATTTTAAATTCATTAATGATCAGATATATTTTTGATTGATGCTCTCTAAAGGATAAACGAAGCCCTTTTGTATAGAGCTAAATTGTGCGCAATTAACTTATTTTGATTCAAAAAATACGTAGCTATTCCATTTCCACGGCATATTAGAACTCTGTATATCTTGTAGGTTATTTGTTTTATTTTTGTATCTAGTAAAAAAACTATGCATCGTTTTTTTACTAGATACAAAAATTTAGTAAATACTAGGACCATTAAAAAAAATAGTCGTCGGTGGAGTTGGCAACTAAGTATTCTACTAAAATTTATGTGGGGGTGAGGGTAGTTCTTACCCTTCCCGTAATTTTTCATATATTTTGTGAAATTCAAATGATAAAGCGATTAGCAAAACATACGCACCCCAAATCCTATTGAAATCGGAATATTTGTTCTTAAAATTTCTTAAAAAATCTGTTTATTTTTAAAGTTTGATGCCCTCTAACGGACAAACGAAGCATTTTTGTATAGAGGTAAGTTGTAGTGATGGGAATACCGGTTCCACATTAGTCGCGTTACAATAGCGACCGTTCCAGAAAAATACCGCTATTTTGTAACCGAGGTTCCGACTTCCAAAGTGGTCCGCGTCGCGGTCCTCGCTTATGCAGTATTTCTGGCATTAGTACCTACCTACCCCCAACCAGTGTTGCCAGCTTTTTTTATCGTTGTTAGATACTGGCTGTTGTCAAAGCCCTAGGACTGTATGATGAGTTATAACTCAAGAAAGATACACACGATAGATCTGCAAAGTCGCAGTGATTAACCCCTTCCCACTCATTCTACATTCTACCAGCTCAAAATACATTTTGCTGAGATTTACTGACTTTTCCACCACCTTTTTTCACAAACTGCAAATTTTAAAAATAAAACACTCGTAATGATATAAATTGTATTTTTAAATTTATTATTGAGAATGATAGAAGTTCTGGCAACACTGCTCCCTACTCTGCCGTTAACTCTGTACCCGTGTAAATTCATAAACAATTTCATAGACAAATTTGTGAACAATACATATGGCTAGAAGAATTTATGACAGTGGCGATACGTTAGGTTTCAATATTGCAAATTAAACTATTAAATAAAATAAATCAATATGATCTATTCCTATTACCCCAAACTGACCTCTAGTTTTTATTATTTAAGCACGAATAGATTGACTTAAAATATGTACATGCATCTATCGGTATTCAATACTTTTTATTCGCCATCTATTCTTCAGAGTGAAAATTTTTTATTTTTTCCAATAATAATATTTAGATTTGTATTCTTTTGATCTTTATATTCTTCCGATCCACGTTATAACCGCTGCAATTTAAAGTAAAAAAAATACTTTCGTAAGATAATTACATTTTTCTATCTTGTTCTTAAAATATATTTGCTTTAAAAAGCTTAAACAATAAAAAATAACATAATTAGAATCCTTATTCCAGATACCTACATATGCTAAAATGTTTATCTAGATGTATGTTATTATCTGCATATATTTCTTACTCATAGAAAATTTATAAGTAAAATGTTAATGTTCATGTCAGGTAATTAAAATAAAATCATTGTTACGTTACGTTATTCTCGTATATGTTAGTAAAATGTAATTCTCTTTCTTGGTAGATTATATTACTCGAATTAGGATTTTTATTTTTAATCAATTGAGAGTGGCTTTACAAGTTTCCTTTTTTTTCAATCATATTTTCTTCTTTATTTATTCTTATTTTTGTAAAAAGGTTTATTTACCTAACTTTTATTTATTATCAATCATATACTACAAAATACACTACTAAATGACACTACTACAATGAACTACACTATTACTGAGAGCGGTGTTTACTTTATAGAAAATCGCTATTTCGAAAGTAACGTAGCGACGGGAGCACCAACCCCAATAGTAACCGACCAAATCGCGACAGACAAAACCGGAACCCTAGAAGAGCTCCAGCTCCAGCGACGAAGTACGTTGCCGCCGATGTCGAGCGTCGATAGCCAGTTACCAGTTACTTCTGTTCGCGACAGGCGGAACTACGGCGCGACAGCTGTTGCGAACACGCGCGACGCTGCGTACAGTACGTCTGCTAGATCTGTGTCTATGAAAGGAATGCGGACAAAAAACATTTAAATAAACAGCAATATATTTTATACGTCGACTTGACGAGTACGTCACCGCAAATCGCTCCGCCCACTCATTTTATTGGCTACTTGCAAATTTGTCGAATTTTTATTGATGGGACGCGTCGTCTAATTTTTTACAAAAAAACATCCGGAGAATATCGTTTCCCCTCTCACGGATACCCCGTAGCTACAGAACGGACAGACGTACTGTACATACCAGTGCCAGTTACTACCGTTGGCGACCGACCCGTTATTGTATCAGGGCGACCGACGAAATCGCGACGGCTGGAGCTAAACACGTCGCTATGCGGTTACTACGGTTCGAGCTAACTTCAAGACCGATTATAAATAATTTATTTGCAAATTATAAATATTATATTATTTTATCGTCATTATGATCGTCGTTCTTCAGTAACAGGTTCCTGATTCATTGTGGAGCGCGACACGACGTTACAAAAAAAATACCGCTCCAAAATCGCGTTACTCAAATACCGACACATCACTAGTAAGTTGTGTCCAATGAACTTATTTTGATTCCAAAAATATGTAGTAGTTCTATGTCCACGGAATATTGGGACACCTATCTGATTTTCATAAAATACCTACCTTAACATATGGTTATTCAATAGAGTAGGATGCGTGTATCTCTTTTTACAGTACTCACATTCGTGCGGTTTTTCTGAATCGGGAATGTGTGATCTCATATGATTATTTAAATAGTTCTCTTCGGTAAAACTTTTTGAGCATTGCTTGCATTTATAAGGTCTGTCTTCTACATGAGTACGCAGATGCTTTCGGAATGCTTTTAAAGATAAATGTGTCTTTTTACAAACATTACAAACATGAGGTTTCTTTGAACCTAAACAAAAAAAAAATAGCGAAATATACCTTATATTAATATATATAATAAAAAATACCTTTTAGTTCTGTTGTGCATTTCTTTTTTTTATCGTTACCGTTTTGAGTTCTTGAAATTTGTAACAATTGTTTATGTGCAATTACCTTTTCTTCAGTTTCATTCTCAATCACAGGATGAGAAACAATAGTAATTTCTTCTTTAAAATCTTCACTGTCACTTGAAGTACTGCTATCGTTATATGAGTCTCTGCTATCATTAAACGAGTCAATTAAAAAAGAATTATTGAAGTTAGATTGTTCAGGATCTTCCTTTTTTTCTGTTAATTTTATTGGGGGTTTTCCAAGATATTGTCTCAGATTACAATCGGACTGTTCACACAACTGTTTGAATGAAAAACCTCTGCTTAACTGCAAAATGCACTGAAGACATATCAATTGTGGAAGACCATCCTCCTTATCCACCTGCAATTTTTTAAATGAATCTACTAGTGATGTAACAAATGTCAATTTTCAAACATTCGCGAAAGCGAAAAAAGAGATCTGTAGTTAAAAAATAGAATATGAAAGATTATATCGAGTGCGTCTCAAAAGTGGCTCACCCCTATAACATTTTTATTTTTTCAGGTAAAAAAAAAGAGATTTGGTATGTTAGTACAGTATGTCTGTCCGTTCTGTAGCTACGGGGTATCCGTGAGAGGGAAAACGATATCCTCTAAATTTTTTTCGTAAAAAATTAGACGACGCGTCCCATCAATAAAAATTCAACTAATTTGCAAGTAGCCAATAAAATGAGTGGGCGGAGCGATTTGCGGTGACGTATTCGTCAAGTCGACGTATAAAATAAATTGCTGTTTATTTAAATGTTTTTTGTCCGCATTCCTTTCATAGACACAGATCCAGCAGACGTACTGTATATGAGATAATTTAGGATTGATAAACGTATTCAATTGTTTTCGGTCACTTGCTGTTTCACCGGAAATAGCTACAACTTTTGATTTTTAAATGCCACTCTGTATTTTTTTACTTTATTCGATAGACAATGACACTCTGAATAGAATGACATATGACATGTCAACTTTTGTCAATTTCGCATATGGTGTATTTGAAATTGTAACATGCGGTTCATAATAGCGATGGGAACTATCGAATGAATTAGACTATCGAATGGTTACTGAATGAATGATTTCAACCATCAAATGGTTTTATTCGAATAAAATCATTCATTCATTTGTATACTAAAGCATATGTGACAACCTCGCCGTGCGACTAAATGGTTATCGTTGCGCCACGAGCCACGACTATCGAATGCTTTTGATAAATGAAATTTAGTATTCGTTTGATTTTTGTGTGCGTCAGTGCATTATTAGTTCTTCCAAATTTTTATAACTTTCCTTGTAAATACTGTGCTATTTTATGTTTATTAAAATATTTAAAATACTAAAATAGTAGTTTTTTTAATTGACGATTGTGGGGTAAGTGAAGTGGTTGCAAATTTTTCCGAAAATTTGTGTGATTTTCCGTAGCTCGATCTTTCAATTATTTAATTTTATATGGTATATTATGGTTAGGTTAGATTGCATTTTTTAATGGGAAATTTTGAAAAGTAGCGATTTTTAAGAGAGATGAGATGAACTTACTATTAATTTTAAAATACATATTTATTTTTGGGGTGAGAAAATTAAATTGAAAGTTTTACATGCCAATTTAAAAAAAAGTTAACAATGTTTTATTTTGGTGATGCTAATTTTACATGTAGTTTTTTCCGAAGAAATATTTCATTTATTTTTTAAAGTAAATGCCAGTAAAAATAAATATTATTTTTAAATAGTAATATAAAGTAATAAAAAGTAATATAAATAATTTTGATTTCTAATTTTTTATTTATATTTTCCTTCCATTACACTGCATGCTTAGAAAATTAATAAATGTTTATATTTCATGATTTTAAAATTTGTTGTTAATATAACAAATTAGTTCTGTGTGTAATTATTATTATTTAATAAACCAACGTTGCCACACACACACGCATTTAGAGACTAGGTATATTATTTTTAAATAGGGTTTAATATAAATACTTTTGACTTCTATTTGTTGTTTATATTTTGCTACTACTTAAAAAAATGTTTATATTATTAAATGATTTTAAATTTTGTTGTTAATAGGTATAACAAATTATTACTGTTATGATTATTTATTAAACCAGTCTTTGCTTAAAAACATTAAAAATCATTTTCCTACATCCAAAATAAAAAGTATTACTGCAGTGTAACAACAGAATATTAATAAAAAAATGCAAAACATATAGACATACTATCCCTAACTAACTAATGCTAAAGGATAATATTCTTTGGTAATACCAACTAATACGAATATATGGCAACAGCGCCCTTCATAATGTATTTTCTGTGTAAATACTAACACCTCAATAAAAAAAATAATGTGTCCTTATCTTTATTTGACTCGGCAAAAAGTCAAAGATGCCGGCTTCTTTCATAGCATTGCCACCGATCGCTGTCGGGTTTCTATATAGCCTACGTCGCCGGACGACAACTAAAATCCAGTTTATATTTTATTAAAATCGATCCTGGCGAATAAATGAATTTCATAAACGAATGAATTTTATAAATGAATGGTTTTTGCTGCCGAATTAGTAGAATACAATATTTCAAGGCAGATGACGCATCTATTCGATAATTTTTATTCGAATAGTTTTCGACGAATGTTTTCTTACTAGCTATCGAATTATTCGAATGAATTGCAACTATCGAATGTTTCGATAGTATTCATTCAATAGTTCCCACTACTAGTTCATAACGACAATTTGACTCGAAATACCAAGTGTGTGGTATCAAATTATTCGTAAAAAATGTTTTTTCCAAATACTAATGAGCAACCCTCGTTCTATTTGAAAAAGAGAGATATTATTAAAAATACGATTTAGGGGGCATCTTTTAACCAACCAGGAGAAGACACTAAAAATATTAGATAATCAAATCTATTTTTCCATTGGCTCATTGGTTAAAAATTAGTGTTTTTAACACAGTTGCGGCACTGTAGATTAAAATTTAAAATAACTTTTTTTAAGCGAGAATATCAAAAGTTGACATATTATATGTTATTATATTCAGAGTGTCATTTTCTATCGGATAAAGTAAAAAAATACCGAGGGTGCCATTTAAAAATTAAAAATCGTCAATTAAAGTCGTCATTTCCGATGAAATAGGAAGTGACCGAAAACAATTGAATACGTCAATCAATCCTAATTTATGTCATATACTAGCATACGAAATCTCATTTTTTTTATCTGAAAAAATAAAAAAGTTATAGAGGTGAACCACTTTTGAGACGCACTAGGTAGATGTCATGATTAAAAATAAAAAAGAACTTTCAGTTGTAAATGAGGATAATTATCTTAAGTACAAAATGAAAATAAATAAAATAAAAAGATTGGCAAAAATTTAAGAGAAGAATGCGTCCTATGTTAAATAGGTATATATTTTTTATAATGTTTGTCTCATTATATTTAAATGTGTTGTTTTTAAATTACTACTGATCAGAGCTGCAAGCTCACAGAAAACTTAAATATTTTTTGGATTTAAATAATTTTAATGACTTAAGTCATTTGATTTTAAGTAATTTTTCGAAAGCTGACTTAAGCCCTAAGATTTAAGTCTTTTTAGAAAATATTTAAGTCATCAAAAAAATTTAAATCTTTTTATAAAAGACTTAAGTCATTAGAAAGTTTTTATATATTTTTATGATAAATTTTTAACATCAGCATTTCTTTTTCACACATCTAGTCTTCTTAGTTCCTGAAATACAAGGCGAATTTTAAAATGTTGCATTTTTCGACCCTCTTCGTATCTTGGTTTTAGTTGCGCCACTGAATTTTACTTGGAAATCTCTATGGAGCTCGATTTTCACCTTTTCGATAAGTTATAATGGAGATATGATGGAGTCCAAAAAAGCAATTTCAATTTCGCCCTGTATTTCAGGAACTAACAGTGCTAGGACAAATATGTGTGTACCATTTTTAGTTTCATAAAAAAGTAGCATAGTAATGCATCGCATCTTTGTACTTCTGCTCATAAACGAGAAACGCTGTAAAACACGCAAAAATGGGCCATCCTGTAGTAAGTACCACAAAATTTAATTTAATATAAGTTGTGTTTATTTTTTTATGTTTATTTTTTTATTCTTGATTATATTAGATATTCTGAAAATAAATCGTTTTGTTTTAAGTGGTTTTATTCTCATCTGTACCTACAATAAATTAATAATATGAAATTTTGTAAGAAAATCGCTAATTATTGGAACAGAAGAAAATTAATACATACTAACATTAAAAAAAGGTACTTAAATTGAATTCTGGTTGTCTTGACTTGAGGGTAATTCTATTGATTTAAATCATTTTACTGACTTAACTTGCAGATTATCATGATTTAAGTCAAAAATATAGACTTAAGTCAATAATAATCACTTAAGTTTTTATGACTTAAGTGATTTAAGTATGCAAAATTGACTTGACTTGAAATAAAATGGTTTAAGTCAAAGACTTAGGACTTAAATCAATTGAACTTTATGTTGAATTTGACTTAATTCGATTTTAGAAACGACTCAAGTTTTTTCCTTGTTTTTTTTTAACTGACTTGTTGCTCTGCCATTGACTTTCAGGTGTATATTAATAATTGTTAATTTATAAATTAATTATTATTACTATTTGTGACTTGTGTAAACATTGTATTAATACCAATAAAGAATTATTATTATTTAATAGTGTATTATTCAACGAGCATGTAATGGTGGCTTTTAATCACGCGGATGAAGTTTCCAAGTGAATAACAGCCATTATATGCGAGTAGAATACTATACTTTATCCAGGACTATCAAAAAAAGTTAGATAATATTAATATAAGTTTTCATTTTTAAAAAACAACTTTTGAAACCCCCCATAGATGAATCCAAAAAATAACATTGAAAACTTCAAATTTTTAAATCGATTTTTAGAGTAGAAAATGAGGGAATTTTAACATTGTTTCTTCGTAATGGTGTTTATTTAAAAGGAAAAAAATATTTTCAAAATCTTATGACAAGAAAAACAACTTTTCGACCCCATAGATGAATGCAAAAAGTGACATTAAAAACTTCAAACAGCTCTTGTTTGGAGTTTGGACATTAGCGTAACTACAGGGGTGCCCGGGGGTGCCAGGCCCCCCTCTGGTACTGCTGGGCACCCCCCAGAGAAATCCTGAATTATGACTCTTGGCTACGTATTAATTTTTATTTGCTTGTGATGCAGTTAAAATTACGTTTTCTAGTTTTGTTTAGTTAATATTATTTTGTTGTGTTCAAAAAATGGTTAATTTTTATTTTTTTAAAAAATGTTGTAGGTATTTAAGTAACCTACGGAACGCGGTTTGGTAGACCATAGACTTATTGTATATGAAATTTATTGATAAAGAAATTCATGTAAACGTTTTATTCAAAAAATGTGTTTTTTAAGTTATTTTTCATTTTTAAAAAAACAAAAGCCTTAGGCCCCCCTGGCCTCAACCCCCTTCATAAACACAAAACATATCGTCAGTAAAACGTGTTAACTCCATTTTTTACGTTAATTAAATAATACGTTTAATACATAATTTTTACGTTAAATTTTTAAAGAAATATTGATTTTTATTTTTCCCCAACAAATTAACGCACTAACGCCTCTATACTGTATGATCGAAAAAAACGGCGTCCAGTTGGCTAGGAAATGACGATCGATGACATTTGCCAGTTAAATTTAAAATTTTTTAAAATATAAAATGACAGCGATCTTCATTTCATAGCCATCCCTGACGCCATTTTTTTCGATCATACGGTATTAGCTACATGTGTAAATTTTTTTCGTACCGTTTTTTTGCTCTCCTGTAAAATTAGAAATAATGGAGTTAGCTGTTGACCACATTTCACCGACGATATATATATAAAGACTGATAAACGTTTAAAAGAAGTATAACTGGTGCGTCTCAAAAGTGGCTCACCCCTATAACTTTTTTATTTTATCAGATAAAAAAACGAGATTTGGTAAGTTAGTATATGACATAAATTAGGATTGATTAACGTATTCAATTCTTTTCGGCCACTTCCTGTTTCACCGGAAATGACTACAACTTTATATGATAGAAAATGACATTCTGAATAGAATGCCATATCATATGTCAACTTTTGACATTTTTGCTTAAAACAAAATTGAATTTTAAATTTCAATCTAGAGTGCCATGGCTGTGTTGGTAACACTAATTTTTAATCAAGGAGCATTGGAAAAATAGATTTGAACGTCTAATGTTATTCGTATCTTATCCTGGCCAGTTAAAAGATGCCCAAATCGTAATTTTAATCATATCTCATTTTTTTAAATGGAACAAGGGTGGCTCATTAGCATATTTCAAAAAATCATTTTTTACGAGTAATTTGGTATCACAAACTCGGTATTTCGAGTCATTTTGTCATTATGAATCCCATGCTGCAATTTCAAATAAACCATATTCGAAAATGTGAAAAGTTGACATTTAATATGTCATTCTACATTCTATTCAGAGTGTCATTTTCTATTGAATAAAACAACAAAACACCGAGGGTACCATTTAAAAATCAAAAGTTGTAGTCATTTCCGGTGAAACAGGAAGTAACAGAAAACAACTGAATACGTCAAACAATCCTAATTTATGTCATATATTAATAAAGCAAATTTTGATTTTTTATCTGAAAAAATAAAAAAGTTATAGGGGGTAAGCCACTTTTGAGAAGCACCCGGTATACCTATTTTTTATTTAGTAATTGCTAATTAAAAACTGTTTTTTATAACATAAAACCAATATCAAATATTAAAGTAAACGTTGATTGAAATTAATTATTACAGTTGATATAATTGCAAGATTATACTAACTTAAAAATTATAAGAAATTCATATTTCTTTGCTAAATTTACCCAATGTTATTTTCCTACTACATTTTATATATTTTCTTGAATGTTGATATTTGCATAAATCTTGCGAATAAGGATATCATAAAAACTGATGTAACGAATATTAAGATTCGTAACATCACTAGTGTTTACATGTGTTACTTTGCATTTTTTTACGTGTGTTACTTATTATATGCTTTATAAATTGTGTGGACCAAATAGATATAACTGCATATTTGGTGTTTCGAACTAAAGAACTAGCCTTTTTGTTTTAAATGTAATAATTGAAAGAGACACAAGTATTTTTCTGAACCAAGTTTAAAAAGAGCACAAGTCTTTCATGATTTAATAATAAATGAAATTGTGCACCTGTTGATACCTATTTCTAAAATAGTAGTAAATTTAAAGTAGTTCAAATTAAAGACTGTTATAAATAGTACAAATAAAAACAATTTTTTTTATTTAGACTAAATACATTGCTTAATTTCTGCTCTTAAGCTGTATAATAATATTCATATTACCTCAACATTTGCAAATCTCATAAGCATATCAGCCATACTCATCGTTTGTCCCGTTGCTTCTTCCATCATAAAAACAGATCTCATCTCTCCGTTTTCCCCTAGACAAGTCCTACATAATTTACCTAAATCAATTTGAGCTACGGTATCTGTTTTAATTTCGTCTATTTTGATTTCCTCCATTTCTGTTTACAAAATACCACAACACAAACACAAAAACAGATGCACACCTTCAATAAAGAAAATGGCGCAAAGGGAGGATTGTTTCACTGGGCGATTGTGTGGGAATCTTCATCGTCTAGTGACTCAAGTCGAACAGTGAAATATTTTCAATCGTATTTATAGGTGTTATAAGGTCGACATTTCTGCAATATTTTATTGAACGGTTGTGATAGGAGTACAGGGTCGTATTCGGGATATTTTAATATTATCAGGGAATAATAAATTTATTTTTGTATTTATTTTATTAAAAAAGAAAAACAGTGCTTTCTAAATTTAAATGTTTACCTAATAAAAGGAAGGATTTTACTTATATGTTAACAGATTACTTATTATTTTGAAATATGGGGATAATATTTCAGTATTTCTTGGCAATATCAAATCTACTATAAATTACTTATTAAGTAATCTTAATTCAATTGTATGGATTAAAATAAAATCAGTATCTACCTATAATAGTTAATCAACATAAAGTAAACACTATTTTTAAAAATTAAATTATAGTTAAACATTATTACCTAACATCTAGACAGAATTAACTGTTTTCTGTTAATTATAATATTATAAAGCATATTGTTTACTATAAAAATAAATAGATTAAATTCACGTTTATATTCATTCTAAAAATGATAAAAAAAACATTAATTTGGGAAAACAATTTAATAAACAATATACAATTCTAAAAAACTATTTAAATAATTATCGGGTTTAGAAATCTGTCACTCTGCCCTTCCTTTCCCAATCACCATATCTCGTAGGTTCTGGCCCTTTTGGCCCTCCAATTTCTCCAGTGTGTGGATTTGTATTGTTTGGCCATGGTTCTAAAGGTTCTTTCTCTTCGTGTGGATGTTTAGCTAGTTGTTCATCTAGTTTGCCTATTGGTGTTTTTTCCCTAAGTTTTTTTCTAAATTCTTGCATTCGAGCACTGACATTTTCGCCTACCGAATAATTTGCACTAAATATATCTGCAAAACAGATAAAATAAATGTTATTACAGTTATGTTTTGCATTTATCATTTTTATTACTTCATAATGTTTATATTGATTCATTATGAAAACCATATGAAAACTATCCGCAAAAGTTACTTAAATCTTACCGGTGAATGGCAGAGATCTACAATTACTTCCTGTAGTTTTAATTGTTTTTAAAAATGAATTCATGATATATTTTTTTATTTACTGTCCCTTTCCCTTTAACATGCCTTGTGCCTTTGACCTAAGAGAGCCTTTGACGGTTCTGTAATGTTTCTTCTTTAAAAAATTCCATGGAAACAGTTGTCCACAACAACCGGCAACAAACGTTTTTATATATGTCCATTACTTATTCTTCTGTGGAAGGATAATCCCTTCCAGAAGGCCGCATATGAATGGCCGCTTGTCTTCAGCATTAACAAGTTTCCCAATTTTTTTCGGTTATAAATGTAAATAACAAATCTCTGATTAAGTGTTATTTTCTGTATGTGGGATGTCTTAAAAAGCTAGCTAAACTAGGCAAAGGTGTGGATCCGGTGGCTGACCTTGAAGCCCATATTTGCTGGATTTGATCATCGATACTACGCAAGCGCACATCGTCGATGTTGCCAAATTGCAGTTTATTTTCGAATTATTTGCAGTTGAAAAATGTTTTTTTGAGTGTTAATCAATAATAATACAAATTCTATAATTAATCTTATAATTTCAGATTTATCTTAATATCCAAAATTAAGGTAAGAAGGATAATGAAGATTGTGAAATGAAAGTAATATGAATATATAAAATTGTAATAATCACAGATGAGATATGGAAGTGGTTGAATAATAATAACATTTATTTATATATTTACACGAATTTTTTCTTATTAAAATTGTTTTATTTCTTTCAAGTTATTTAATTTCTAGTTATTTACAGACAGGCAACAATAGTTTTGATTATTTGTATTGATGTTTTGAAATACTACCATGACGAGTCTTATAGAACAATACACGTCAATGGGAGATAGAGGTAACATATTTTACCTATAATGTTACTAATATAATATACTTTGATTGTAATGTTTGTATCATAATTTCTTAAAAATATCAAGTTAGTGGATTAATAGCAATTTTAGACCTGTTTAGACATATATTTTATCGAAGAGTGTGTTGATAAGACTAAAATAAGCTTTATGTTTTATCTTTTTCTCTTTAGAAGGGAGATGGTTTGTGTCGTAGAATACATTACAGTATTTAATATCGTGTACTCTGATATTATTTTCTTAATTTACTGTAATTTCGTTTCCTATAATGCCAAATCTTGACAATATGGTGAAGGTTGGGTTTTGATTAGTTTTATACCTGTGTTTATACAAGAGAAAATTAAGACTTAGTTTGTGATTTATATTAAGATCTTTCTTATAATATTTGTTATGTCTTAATCTTAATACTATATTATGCTTGGTCTGGAAAATAAATGTTAAAATATCTTAATTTTGCATATCCTATTCCATCCTTCCATTAGGAAAAATATGGCTTATAAATCATATATGCTAAGAAAATCACATAAATTTAAGAATAGAGAAATCTTAATGTAGCGGAAAATTAATGCAATATATGTATAAGCAGAATTAAACAAGGTAACTATTGCTGAAGCTGATTCTACAATTTTAATTACGGAGGCTAAAAGGCCTTTTAAGGCCTCCGTTGTTGTGATGGAATGTTAAAAAAAAACCATTATGAACATGACATGGAGCTACAGCATTTAAAATTAAAAAAAAAAAGAAAAACTTGGACACAAGAAATTTTAATTTCCCGAATTTTTAATAAAGCACTTTTAAACGTAGCATAATAATCTAGATAGGAATCTAGAGTTTTATTTCTATATAATTTTATTGACTATAATAATACATATGTAATAAGCGTTCACGTGTTGTGCGAAATATTAAAATAATAATATAAATAATAATATACCGCGTACTATGATTGAAAAAAAATAGCGTCAGCGATGACTATGAAATGAAGATCGCTGTCATTTTATATGGGAAATGTCCTCAATCGTCATTTCCCAGCCAACAGACTTTTTTCGATCATACGGTATATATTGACAAAAAAACACTGAAAAGCACATACCTATTTGTTTTCTACTGAAAATAATTCCAAAATAACTCGCAATCTGGCAACATCAAAGATGTGCGCATGCGTAGTGTCTGTGACTATATGCAGCAAAAACTCGTTTCAAGGTCAGCCACCGGATCCACACCATTACCCTAAACTAGGATCATATATATAATCTAGGGTTGGGTAAAATAAAATTAAAATGACTATTCTTTGAAAAAAGTTTCTCTGGGCTGGAACTCTATAACTCGGTAGCGATGAAAAATAATGACCTTGACCGTACAAACTAAATGGCAAGCGACAGTATTCTTCATAGCCACTCCTGATTTAAAGTTTTGACTGCGGAATAGGTAGATAATTTTTATAATTTTTATCTGGTTCGGATTCCGTGTAAACAAAGTAGGCCTCATTGGTAGGTCACGTCCAAGGGTCACGTCTAGATTAGCTCTAGCAGCAAAAAGGAAATGTTAACCATAGATAAAGGAATAGAGAGACGATAACTTTATATATTTTTTAAGCACACGTTGGCGACAATGGAGAGCTAGTTAATTATTTTATGATGGAGAGAATCAAATCAAATCAAAATTTGGCGGTTAAAAAGCAAAAAACAATTTTCAAAACAGCCCAAAACATGCCCAAAACTTAAGCAAAATTATTTGGTTTTCTCACGTAAACATGCAACTGTAAACAGTTTTGAAAATTTTCCACCTTCCTATTGCTGCCTACATAATATGATTAAAAAATGGAATTGTCTCAAAGAAATTGTACTTTATCCATTAATACAACACAACATTTACTTAGCGAAGTGAAAGATCAACTAGTAAAACTATTTAATGAAGTTAGTATAAATGTTGAATTTAATACAGAAGAACATTATATTTTAACTCAAGAGCAGGCTTTAGTTGTGATTGCATTGACTAAATACTTTGAAGGGGAAGATGGTCAAAGTAAAATACTAAGTTTTGTAAGAAATTTGAAGACAATCTGTAAAAAAGAACGGTATTGTAAGCAGTTTTTGGGACCAACAGTTTTGAAAAAGGATAGCGACACTCATATAAAAATATATCAGGATAGTCTTTTTCGGTATGGTTTTAATTTTTATTCTTTCCTCTTATTTTTGATTTCTTCTCTTAGTTTATCTCTTAGCCATAGTTTTATCTAAATTTATTTGACAACAAATAACTGAAAAATGTACTAGATTTTATTACGATGTAACGATATAAATACCTAGTGGTATTTTATAATTATTGATTAGCCAGTAGCCTAGTATTAATTTTAAGTTAACTTAGTTTCAAGATTTACGATTATAACATATAAGTAATTGAAGTAATAATTACTAATTGGAGAGGATAATTGAATGAATTTATCACTGTCAATTTCTTAGTTTATTGGTATATTCAGTATAATGCAAGCGTTATCTTCTGTTTTGGACTATATAAAATTTATTGTAATTCTATTTTTATTCTTAATCTAAGATTTCAACCACTAGCCTATCTATGAAATGTGTCCTTAGTATGTTTTAATAACCTTTATACTCAAATAATCTTACCATCAGACTTTGCTATTATTATGTATTTATATATATTGTCTTATTATATCTACAGTATGATCGAAAAAAAAAAACAGTCAAAAAGAACAAGTGTCCAGTTGGCTTGGAAATGAACATCAATGACATTCCCCATATAATTTTACATATAAAATGATAGTTATCTTTATTTCATAGCCATCGCTGACGCCGTTTCTATTTGATCATACGGTACTACTCTCACTCATAAAAAAATAATTTCTTTCAATTTTTCATGAAGTTAAATTTTTACAATGAATTTTACTAAATGGTGAATGCAAGGAACTATATAAGAAAACTTATGTAATATGAATGTTTGTAGGTATACATTTTGTGTATATAGGATTTTCTTTAATTTTGCAGATTATTCTTAAAAGTCCCCTGCCTTCAAAATGATGTCATCAACATTCTTCTTGATATATTAACAACAGTTGGAATGGAGGAAACAGAAGATACATCTTATTTAAGGGACATTCTTAAACCTCTTAGATATCTCCCCATTATTAAAGATGGACAGTTTTTAACAAAGAAATTGTTAGACATACTTGAAATTTCTACATTTTCCAGTCAGTTGGAAATTCTAGATGCTATTCCTCAAATTATACCAGATTCTGATTGCGATCAAGCTGCAAGGCAGCTGATTACATTGCTAGACGATAATGATGCTTTGTTTGGAGCTATTATTGATTGTTTAAATGCTTTAAATTTAGAATCCGATATAAGGGGTCAAGTACAAGATAGAATTCTAGCAAAATTACTAGCTGGTCAAGTAGGCATGAGTCCGAAAAATTTTCCAATCTCATTACAATTTTTATTAAGTGATTCTAAATTACCTAGTTTGGTGCCAACCTTATTTAAAATAAGAAATGTTCTAGATAATATTTTGCCTTCCAGAAGCAGCCAAGAAGAGGTGGAATCAAATAAAGTATTAATACTTCAGCATATTCATATGTTTACTTTGTCTCGAAAGGCAATATCTGAAGGATGGTTAGCAACAGTATCTAATATTAAATCATCAACTGACCATAAACCAATTGACTATTTAATAATGTTTATGTTGCATCATACATCTGAAGTCCGTAAGCACTTAATTGAAGGTATTTTTCGAAAACGCATTAGTATGGGACTTTTCAAAATTGAATTTTTGGAAAAGCTATTTGAAAAATATATGTCCCAACAGATACTAAGAGATTATATGCCTTCTATAATTGAAATTGGATGTTGCTTAGTTAGGTCATCTAAAGATTCTACAGTAGCAAAATTTTCAACACGTTTATTTGAATTACTTTTCAGTCATGCATATACTGGGGTCATTTATAGAAGTCAAATTATTTCAAGCTTAATATCATTAACAGCTTCTACTGACTCAAGTGTAATAAATACAAATTTAAAATTATTACTATCACTTGCATTAACAGATGCAGAAAAACTAAAAACACATATCGTATTGCTAATGCAATTACTAGAAAAATTGGATACTCTGAGTTTACAAAATGTTAAGCTTGTGTTTGATGTATTAGGTATATTGATTTGGGGAAAAACTAGTAGTGATGATTCTTTATCTGGTTTTAAAAATGAAATTCACATTATTCTTCGGAAACAGCTTACAAGTACTGATAGAGTGGTTAAACATAGAGGAATTCTCAGTGTTCTTGTAATAATTAAACATATGGCTTCAATAGAAACAGAAGAAGATAGTGATTGTACGGTAAATAACTCACTATCAATAAACAATATACCAGAAGGGTCTTCAAGAGAGGCAGCATGTCTTATTGAACTTGCATGTAATTGTACTGCCAATTCGCCAGAACTTCTAGGTCTCTACTATGATCAGTTGGCTTCAATATTAGCTAGTCCATATATATTTGATAAATATTTTTTATTGTGGCTTTATAATATAATTACAAAAGATTTTTACAAACTATTTGTTAGTGACGTTGTTCCAGAGCCTATCAATGATATTAGTTTTTCATTACAATATAGAATTAGCACAGACACTGTTTTAACAGGAATAAATATCGCAAGTTATATAATCATTAAAAAGGATAATACAATACTATTATTATCTCCATTATTCCGTGTGTTAAGACTACTGCATTTAAGGCAGCATAATGAAAATATTCTAAGTCTGAGAGATTTGTTGGATTGTGGCATTATTTTACCAGATGTTGATGATCCTGAATTGTTGGATCTTGAAGATTTAAAGCGAATTTCTGATTGCTTGTTTCATTGTGCAAATTGGATAAGGGAACTTATTAGCGCGTTTGTAACTGTAAAAGATTCAGCTATCCAAAATATCGTGATACAACGTTTACAAACTCTACTTGAAGTTGAGGAGAAACTGTTTTCATTTCTCGATTATATTCCAGGACATCATTTACCAATCAGCTATTTCGACTCGTCTGTAGCTAGTAAACAAACTGTCAAAACTGAATCTAATGTTAAAAAGAATAAAACTAAAAAAATAAAATCAGTTTCAGTTCTAAATGAGACCAGTGATACTCCTGTTAATACCCAAAAATCTACTAAACTTGCGTCTTCTACTAAATTACCAGTATCCCCTAAGAAAAAAATACAATTTAGAATACTAGACACTGATGTAGTGCATCTGATGAAATATCCATTAAAAATTGATGAAAGTGACGTATCAGAATCTTCACAGACGTCTTCCTTGAATATTACACAAGTAAAGTTTTTGCTTAACGATTTTGTAACTAAACTGTCATTATTAACTTATCATAAGGACATAGGTTTGTCTCATCTTAATGATGTGAATTCTGAGGATTTGATTAAAGATTGTGTATATATTTTGCCTCAAATTGATAAATACTTACTTATAATTGTTAAACATATCAAAAATCTATTGAATGAAACGGATGACCGACATGATTTGCCCAATTTATACACAGATGAAGCAAAAGGAATAAGGATGTGTTTTGGGTTTATTTTGCAAGCATTCTATTTAGTTTTTAAATGGCCCGGATTTCAACATACTGCAAATATTGATTTGTTAAAAAATATATTAAAAGCTATGAGATCAGATAATACTCAGACTTCCGCAATTCGGCTCGTTACAGGATTTGTTTTGCGATTAAGTTCCTTTGCTGATCAGTGCTTAGAATTAAATCAGGCCGTTAATTTGGTTCGAACTATGGACGTACTTCATAAAATTATTCAGCCTAATGAAGATTTGAAGAAAAAAATATCAAAAACAGCAGAATTATTATTAAAAAAACGTTGGTATAACATTAGTGGTGATATTGATAATGGGAGAGGCTGTAATGAAAATATTAATGTTTTGGTATTCTATTTATTAAGTATAGCCGGTGTGAAAGATATACTGACTTTATTAGAGACTATTCAAGAGCAGATTGGAAATCTAAGTACTAAAGAAGACTGCCTACATGACTGGGCAGCAATAGATAAAAGAAATTTTCACGTGTTTTATTTAGGAATCTGTAATGCTTTATTAGAGAGCATTAAATTTGAAATACAGGCTTTAACAAATCGAGAACATTTGGAGGTATGGTTAGATGTGTTCACTATAATGGCCGATCTTAAATTGATTGCTATCTCTGTTAAAAATCGTACAAATACAATATGTTTTTTGAAAAAATCTATAGGGATTTTGAAAGTTTTTTTAACACACGGTCTCCCCATTCTCGAAATTATGCTTAAAGTACACCCACAAAGCGTTATAGAGATATTTAGAATAATGCACAGTAGTACCAGGTATATGCATAAACTTTGTTGTGAATCAAAATTAACTCGGGATGCCCGTGTAATTACCTATATACCAGCCTTTAGGCATATATTGGAATCGATAGTGTATCGTGCTAAAGCAGCTTTTTGCATTAATAATATGTTGAATATGTTTCATTTTGGTTACTTGCCAAATAAAAATTTACAGGACGAATTGGTGTTGGACGTACCAACACAAAGTACAAACACTTCTGTTGAAGATGAAATTGATGACGAAAATGAGCTATTTGCTGATGATACCAATCTTATTATTGACGAGACTAATATGGATGATGGAGAGTCATGTGATAGTGAAGTTTATAACTAAAACAAAAAATGTGAAAATTTAGATACCTAGTTTAAGTACTTAGATGTTTTATTTTTTATTTAGTAATATAATATTTTTATATATTTAGCTACTTATTTTATTTGTACCAACTCTTTTTTATCACTGATCAGTTTGTATATTTTAACAATTGGTGCCAACCTTATTTAAAATAAGAAATGTTCTAGATAATATTTTGCCTTCCAGAAGCAGCCAAGAAGAGGTGGAATCAAATAAAGTATTAATACTTCAGCATATTCATATGTTTACTTTGTCTCGAAAGGCAATATCTGATAAGTTTGTATATTTTAACAAACATTTTGGACTTAGACCAGGGTACCTGTTCTTGACATCTTTCGCAACTTTATGTTACGTATACGCAAGCATTGCATGTATTTTTTTGCTAACGGTTTTCTCGGAGATGCGAGTTACATTTGAAGATTTGAAGATGGTCAACACATGCCTAGTGGTCAATAATAGTCCCCAGAGCCGCAACAAGCAACAAGTCAGTTTTAAAAAGATTAAAACTTAAGTCTCCAGTCATTTCTAAAAATAAAATGATTTAAATCTTTAAGTCTTTAACTAAGTCGTTTTTATGGCTTAACGCTGGACACATACAGAAAGAGCAAAACTTTTAGTCAAAAATATTGTCTCGGTCTAATATTTTTTACACATGATTCGAAGTGAAGCAGAATGTTTTATTTACAATCAAATATGCACCTGGCAGATTCAGAACGGGTCGTGACTAAAAGGGGCCCTACACTCAACGACTTGATCTGCATGTCAAATCGCACATTTTCAAATCTTAAAACCAACTCGATAGCGATCTTTTCACACTACACATTCAGATTTTATAAAAGATAATTTTGTTAGTCTATAGTACGGTTATTTTTCTCTCTTCTCTCTATAGTCTAGTACAGTTCCCGCCAAGTCTGTGCTCTGTGCAAATAAAACATATTCAGTATGTTGAAATATCGTAGATCTCATCTCTTCGATGATATCTTAATCTTGGTTTGCTATTTATTTTTATTGTTATTAGATATAGTTTAAATGTGTTGATGTTGGTTAAATATATTTTAAATTGTTATAAAATTCTGCATCTCTCATAGCAAATATTATTTTCGTTTTAATTGATGCTCACAGTTAGAATTTTTTTGCATTACAGCCGGTGCCGTTCAAAGCCTACTTATTTAAAGCGGGCGAATTTTTATATACTCTATATCTCGAAGAGGAATCGAGCAAAATATCAAGTGTGTTATATTTTTGGAAAAGTAATTTTAAATTCTTTTCAATAAATTAAAAATATACAGGGTTTCCCATATAAAAAATCAAATTTTCTGTTGATAATTCTTAAATTATTAATTTTTAAAAAATTATACTTAGACCATTAAATTCTACGTAAAAAGGTACTTTAGAAATGTTTGCATAAAAATACAAAATTTTCCATAGCACAAAAGTTACAGCGATTTGTTAAAAATGCATATTTTTGAAAAACACCCCGTAAGTCCGAAACGGTAACAGATATCGATATGCGGTTTTCACCATCATGTTTTTGACAAAAATTGAGCTCCAGACACCGATATTAGTTTTTGTCTATCTCCTATAGAAAAGGGTGTTTCCATTTAAAAGCGTCGAATTTGACCCACCCTGTACAGTAGGGTGTGTCAAAAAAATCGACTACTTTTTTTCTTTTTTTCACTTACTACAATTCTCTTATGTATCATATATAAGTATGACCTTTTAATTTTAATAGGAAGGTCCTTCGCCTTTAAGTTTTCTATTTTTTCCTTAGGTATTATTAGAAAGAAAAAATCATATCTGGAAAAAATATTTCGTCTCATATAATATTTGTAGGAAATTGAATTCTATACAAAAAAGTAATTAACGAAATATCGTAACAACAGCTCTTTTAGAAATGTCTAGGTTTACTGATTTCACTGAGATTTATGAAAAAAGTCCTTTGCCTCGGGTACAGATACCGCCAGATTTTGGAAATAGCTCAAAACGAAACAAAATTGAACGAGGCAACAAAAAACGCCAAAAAAAATCTCCCACGCCTTCCTCACGACTCTCACGAGTAGTTTTCAGACGATTTTAAGAATCGAAAGTGGGTCAATTGTTCAAATTTTTAATCAAAAACTGTTAAAATTATTGCGCATTGAAGTTTGACAAGGAATATCTTTTAAACGGTTAATTTAATAGACTAATCATGAGAAACTATTTTTGTAGAGCAGTGAATTTCCTACAAAACCATGAGTTGCATGTATCATAATGCTTTTTTGTTAACAAGTTATAAAATTCATAAGAAAAAATAAAACGGCCTTAAAATAATCAAACTTCAACCTTTAACTTTAACTTCGAACGGTGCCGGTGAGGTTTACAAAAAAAATAAGAGACCTTTTTTGTAGAGAATTCAATTTCCTACAAATATATGAGACGAGAGATTTTTTTCCAAATAGTAGATAGCGAGATATGATTTTTTCTTTCTAATAATAAGGAAAAAATAGAAAACTGAAAGGCGGAGGGCCTTCCTATTAAAACTAAGAGCTCATACTTGGAGATACTTTTTTTGAGGCGTCTACCAACCTTTTTTTCAGAGTATAAAGTGAAAAAAATAGTCGATTTTTTTTACCCACCCTACTGTACAGCTCAAATCTCTCAGATAACGTTGCGTGTAGGACCTTTTAAAAGTTGCTGGGGGATGGAAAAGGGGTAGAAAATGAGGAAAGGAAAATGTTATTGGAGCGCATTAGATATTCAAAAGAAATGTTAAATGAACCCTAAAAAGGAGCTCCTATTTAAGAGACTGACGATTTGACTGACACCACACTCTTGATGATTTTAGCTACTTCGGTTTGTGTTGTGGCTCAGGGTGCAGTGTTTGCGTTTCTCCCTTTATGCTATTCTCCTGCGCTTGAGTAAATCCTAAATCACTGCTTGGGCCCCTCTAGTGCTATTGCAATTGGAGGGTCCAAGAAAAACATGATAAATGATAAGCGCCATTTTACTAATTCTACAAGAGAGCACTGGATGGCAGGTGGTTATCAGGTTCTTTCCCTGTATGTATATTTTTACTAGGCACATATCATAGGATTTAACAGCTTATTGTCTTGCAGAGTTTATACATTTTGTTATATAGGGATCAGTTAGACCTACTACGAGTACTTACTATAATATTGTAAAACCCTAAAATTAAAAAATTGGTGCTTATTATGTTTGGACCTTTAATTCCTTTGCGAAGTTAAGATTATACGTATTTAAAATTTGCCTCACGTATTTGTAAATATTGCTTTCTCTGAAATTGCAGATCGGCCTCGAAGAGTTTAAGTATAGGTAAATTGATGTACCGATGAGTTAAATAAATTGTACATAATTTGGCAGCTTTCTATTTATATTTACAATGTAAATTTCCGTATCTTAAATCTTAAACATGTTATGAATAAGCTGATAAGAATATTAATATATTACTGAATTGTTAAATATATGATAAAGCTTCATACCTAACTTCGTATCTTAGAGAAATATACATTAAAAGATGATTATAACATATAAATTTAAATTTATTTTTATCTATTAACTAAATTATAAAAATCGCCATTATCTCCCAAACATTATAAAGATCTCCATCTCCATTTATCAGTGGCGGATACAGGGGGAGGGCCCATGGGGCCCGGGCCCCCCCCTAAAGTCTGTGAATTGTGTAAAATATTAGGCTTTTGCGTTAAAAATGGCGCCCTAAAAAGCATATTCTACATTGCTTTTCATTTTGGGCCCCCCCCCCCTAAAATAAATTCCTGTATCCGCCCCTGCCATTTATGGTACTTTTATTTGAGTTAAAATAATAGTCCAGGAGGCAGTGAAGATTTTCGGTACTTATTTTCCCTGTCAGCAAACACCGATAGAATTATTCGGTATCTTATTCTAAACAAATTTCATATACAGGGTGGTCCGAACTGTATTCCGGAAACTTCGGCAGCATATTCTGCAGATAAAAATAAGTAAAAAAGTTCGTATAAATGTATGTCCTCAAATGCTTAGTTTTGGAGATACAGGGTGTAGAAATTTCATTTTTATTTCGATTTTTTCTAAATAATTTCTGAAGTAACGTCAATATTTGGATGAAAATTGGTGTCTAGGAGTTCTTTGGCATGAGAAATTTGATTTTGTTGTCAACATGATTCCTATTTGTAGGGGGCGCCACTTACACGTGTTTTAACTGTTTTGATGAGTAATAACTTTTTGTCCGTACCTGTATAAAACCACTGATGGAAAAAATATACATCTCTGTTACTTTTTACGTAAAAAATATCTCTTTGTAAAAATCGCTACGAGTAACAATTCTCAAGATATTTAGAATGGAAATAGTCAATTACATGTCATTATTGACGAAAAATAAACACTTTGGGTAGATAGTTATTTTACTGAAATAATAAATTTGGGAAATTTTAATTTTTTTAAAATTAATCATAAATTTTTCTGCAAAAAAATGATGATAAAACAGTTTCTGTTGAACGTTTGACACAAAAACATTTCAAATTTATGATTTCAGTTTAATAACTATTTAGTCAACATGTTTAATTTATGTCAATGATGATAGGTATTGATAATATCGATTCAAAATATCTCGAAAACCATTACTCGTAGCGATTTTTATCAAGAGACCTTTTTTACGTAAAAAACGTCGCAAATGTATATTTTTTAACTCACTAGTTTTATACAGGTACGGACGAAAAGTTATTACTCTTAAAATCAGTTAAAAAATATGTAGGTGGCGCCCTCTACAAGTAGGAGCCATAATGACATTAAAATCAAATTGCTCATGTCAAAATACTATCTGACACTAATTTTCATCCAAATATTGAGGATACTTCAGAAATTATTTGGAAAAAATCGAAATAAAAATGAAACTTCTACACCCTGTATTTCCGAAACTAAGCATTTTAGGACATACATTTACACAAACTTTTTTACTTATTTTTATCTGCAGAATATGCTGCCGAAGTTTCCGGAATACAGTTCGGACCACCCTGTATATGTAAGGGGGGGTTTCCGATGGGTTGGGGCGGAAAATGTTTTAGAAAGTATACCAATATTCTGCACTTTTTTTTCCAGCGATAAAAATAGTTTAGTGAAAATATTTTTTTTTATTAGTGGGAGATAGTATGCCAGAATTATTTATGTGAATTGTTATGTTATTAAGAAACAAAAAATAGTCTAGCTAATCTGTGAGAATGGGAAATATATCTGGCAGGTGAAAAATTGAATAAACATTATTGAAACCATCGCCCTTTTTTTCGCAGTCCTAAAAATTTGTCAGATGATAGTTTATATTAGAATTACAGCTGCAAATATAGTCTAGCTCATGTGGAACATCCCGAAAGGGGCCATCCATAAATTACGTCACACGAATTTCAAGACTTTTGAACCCCTTCCCCTGTCCTTGTCACAGAGTGTCACATTTTTAGAACACCCCCCACTGATGTGACGTCACACATTTTTCAAATTTATGCATGTATTAAGCGAGAGTGCTAAATTATTAATAAATCTAGTCTTAGTAAAGAAACGGTATTAAACACTTCAAGACATAGGAAAGCCAAAAAAAATCCTGAAGAAACATGACACAGTAAATGCGAAACGTCGTCGAAAAACTATTGTTTTAATCTAACCATAGTCACCAGACCCAAGAAACAACTAAAAAAATAATATATGTATAAGGCTAAAGAATCACTGTCAATTATTATTAATAAATATAGATCATTTTTAAAGCTTTTTACTTATATAAATTTGGTGCTTTACTATTTTAAATTTTAACATGTTACGTAACAAAACTTTTGACCCCCCCTGCCCCTTGTCACACTATGTCATTACGGTGATGCCCCCCCAAAGGGATGTATATAAGCGCACCCGCGCTCAGCAGTCTAGTTTTGAAATACAGGGTGGCGCACCTCATTCGCCTCGGTTGATTATAAGGAAACGGAAAGATGTAGAAACAAAATATTTTATGGGTATATGCGGGGAGGCAATGTGCACAATTTAAAATTATTTTGAAATATACAGGGTGTCTCAGAACTAAGATTTATACCAAAGTTATATTTTTTTTATGGAACACCCGGTATTTTATTTCATTTTTGGGCCCAAAAAAATGCATTTATTATAAGGGTTAAATATGTTTAAAATCATTGGTTTTTGAGATGTTTAAAGATATTTAAATATGCATGCTACAAGAGAATTGACTATCAACACCCTGTACATTGAAAATGTTATTGTTTCCTTAAATTTATACAGGGGTACCAAAAATTAGTGATCTATTTTAAGGATTTATTTTACATAAAAACTTTGTTATTTCATATGCAACACCCTGTATTTTTTTAAATAAATTGAAGCAGATTCAAATGCTCTTTCAAACTATATTAGGGTTTCCTATACCTATCTATCTCTGATTTTGAATAAAAAGCGATTTTTAAATAAAATGGCAATCAAGATGGCTGATATCGCCATGGCAATTTTCTAGTGACAGTAACTATTTTCGTTATTATTTATATATTATAACATTATTATTTATTTAAACAGTTTACTAAAATTTACCCACAATAGTTTATTAAGTAAGTATTCTTATTTTATGAAGAAAAATAAAGCCATATCTGCTGGTGGAACGAATGGATATGTTACTAGTGATTTTATTTTGTGATGAAAATTATTTATTGGCCTCAAGAGCTAATGCTCAAAGATATCCAAATAGGAATCTTCCTGATAAGCGTTCCTTTGAAAAACTACTTGTCCTATTTAGGCAGAAACTATACAGGCAGAAACCTGTCGTTGGAAGTAGAGAAATTGAATTTGCCGTAATTGGCTCTTTTATAAAAAAATTATATATCTACAGTCTACAAGTTATCGTAAAATAAAACAAAGAACTACTTCTTTGTTTTTCTTGATAGAATAATAAATACATATTAATAAATATTATTTATTAAACTATTGTAGGTCAATTAAATAAACTGGTATAGATTTAAATAAAGTCTATAAAAACTAATGTCGATTTTGAAAATAGTTACTAACTGTCACTAGAAAACTGCCATGGCGATACCAGCCATCTTGATTGCCATTTTATTTAAAAATCGTTTTTTATTCAAAATCTGAGATAGATAGGTATCGGAAACACTAATATAGTTTGAAACAGCATTTGAATCTGCTTCGATTTATTTAAGAAAATACAGGGTGTTGCATTTGAAATAACAAAGTTTTTATGTAAAATAAATCCTTAAAATAGATCACTAATTTTTGGTACCCCTGTATAAATTTAAGGAAGCAGTAACATTTTTCAGTAAAGTTTATTTCTTTGCCTTTAAACTCAGAACAAGAATTAATTCTGAAAAGTAATGTACAGAATATTGAAAATCAATTCTCTAGTAGCATGCATATTCAAATATCTTTAAATATCTTAAACACCAATGATTTTAAACATATTTAACCCTTATAATAAATGTCTTTTTTTGGGTCTAAGAATCCAAAAATGAAATAAAATACCGGGTGTTCCATAAGAAAAAATGTAACTTTGGTATGGATCTTAGTTCTGAGACACCCTGTATATTTTAAAATAATTTTAAATTGTGCACATTGACTCCCCGCATATACCCATAAAATATTTAGTTTCTACATCTTTCCGTTTTCGTATAATCAATCGAGGCGAATGAGGTGCGCCACCCTGTATAATGAGTTTTTGAATAGCGAACGTTGACAAATTGGCGAAGGATTTTTGAATAGTTAATTGTGTGTTGTAATCAGTATAAATTGTGTGTATATAGTGAGAAAATAAATTTGTTAAGTATTTTATCGTGAGTTTAAATTAGTGGACCCACGGAATCCGTAACAATATTATTTTCTTTTGTTCCAAAAATGTTTTTTATCTTTTTACAAAATTTGTAGGTATTTAACTAATCCACGGGAACTCGGTGCTATCACTCTAAGTCTACGAAATTTATTGATAGAGAATTCCATGTAAACGTTTTATTCAAAAATTGTGTTTATTTTTTAATATTGTTATTCTTCATTTTTTAAAAACAAAAGCCTTAGGCTTTCTCCTGGGCTCAACCCTAGGCCCCCAGGATGAATTGCTAATTACGTTAATGACCATCACTGCAATATTTAAACAAATAGTTTGAAAGCACAGCATTTTTTAGATTGGCCGAACAATATTACTATTAAGATGAAAAGAAATGAAATCGAAATTATTAATCAATAAACAGAATCACATTCTCTGCCTCGGGGGACTTCTGCATTTATCGGCGTAGTACTCCTCTATCAATGAAAGAAACTGGCCCGGTCTGGCAGGTACTTTCATCCGTGCCGCATTTTCTTCGATCGCCACTGAGAAAAATCGTACTTTGCGTTTCGTATCGGCAAGGTCGAGGTAGATACGTCAGCCTGACGAGGTAGATTGTGTTATGTTATCTCGTGATTTCGCCAAAATCTTCTGCTGCCTGATTAGTTACGTGAAAGTGCGGTATAGTGCTGTTTCCCTTATTTTTGGTGGTTTTGGCTAAGGCAGAATGTGGGTGGATTTGCATTCGGACTGTCACTAATGTAAATATTATTTTAAGTTTTAAACTAACTGTCATACCTCTAAAATTTAGTTAAGATTAACAAAAGTTATCTATGATATAAGAGCTAAAACTGATATTTTAGGGTGAATTAGTCAGTGATCGGACAGTTTAGAAAAAGTCGAGTTTAAATTGTTGATTAAATTTTCCTTATTGATGGCATGGAAATGAAATTTTATGAAATAGATAGTGTGTGGTTATTGTGCTTCACGTTAAATATAACAGTTTTTTTCGTAAACCTACCAATGATTTTAATTAATTTTTAAGTGCTAAAAGTGCTGTTTTTTCAGTAGTCTTAGTAGGACAGAGCTTGCCAGTGTCCGGTCGTGTAGTTACCAGAAGTCGGACACTTTGGGATTGGTTGATTCTGCACAGTCCTGTATTTAATATCTATATTATGTATAATATTAAAGAAAATTTAATCTTGAACATTATATACCGTTTTTTGTTGTATGTTATCTATATGAAACAATCGTCTTTAAACGATACAAACGCGCTTCATAAAACCATGCTTCCATTAGGAAACAGCGTTTTCAATTTTTCTTCTTCTAGATACAATTTTTTCAACTGTATTAAGTAACACTTGTTTTTTTTTCGAGATACATTTTTTAATAATTTTCATTTATATTATTATAATTTGCCAATTTAGTTGCTACTGCATCGATATTAACAGAAACATAAAATTTGCTGAGTTGTGTTTGTTGACAAGCAACATTAAATAATCATGAACTTTTGTTTATTAGAAAATGATCTAGAAGCAGTCAATAAAGCTGCTTTTGAATTATTTGTTAAAAGATTTTACAAATACTCAATTAACAATAATCACAATTTGATAATATGTACCGGGTGGCCAACTAAGAATGGACGCCGGCTGTATCTCAGAAACTACTTACCGTATAACTTTGGAAAAAAGAATTATAATAAGTAAATCGACCAAGAGAAATCGCTGGAAATTATTTTCAAGTTCGAAAAATGCCCGCTAGAGGGCGTTTCTCTAATAATCAATCAGAAAACAGGGTTTTTCTCAAAAATATGTAGGTAAACAGGTATTTTAAATATTACTATTGTAATCATCGAGAAATTTGTAATTTTTTTGATATAGAGTGTTTTGCTCTATCTCATAAAATAAAGTGGTGGGGGAAGGTTAAATTTGCTTTTATTAAAATAAGGATAACTCTGATTTAGGTTACGCGATTTAAACAAACTAGGGCTCGTTTAAAAGAGCTTTTCTTCCTTAATGATCTGCAGTATAAATTTTGTTTCCACAGTTTTTTTTGTGGTAGCTAGAGGGCGCTGTTTGACATCATAACAGATATTGCGCTTTTGCGTAAAAATTTTAAATAGGAGACTATATTTCCCTTTGCACAGTTAAATAGGGAATAACATTTCAAAAATATCAGCGCAAACCGCAACTTTCTATCTTCTTTTTAACCGGAGATATTAAGAGAACAAATCATGTTAGGCTGCCGCTTAGGATTATATGGTTTAAAAATTATAGTAGTAGGCTAGGAAACAAAAAGAGGTAAATTGGTTACGTCAAAATATCAAAACATATATTTTAATTTCATTTTAATACCATTTAATTACTATTTATCCATGTTCGTTCTTGATTCGACCCCATAAATTGAAACCTAGGCATATTGAATCCGATGACCCAGCTGGCCATGGAAATATGCCGCTCTAGCGTTTCTATCTACTAAAGTAGGTGGTATCAAAGAAGCCCCACACATTCATAGCAAAATAAGCGGTTCCACTGCCTCAACTACACTAAATGCATCCATGCTGATGAAATTGCAACAAATGCAATTTCATCATGATGGATCCTCTAATACAATTGGCGATTCATTTCTTAGAAATTATGGATAGTTCATTTCATTCAGATAATTAAAAAAGTCCAATCATTCGCCATTCTAGAATACCTGCGCAAACATTTACCGACCAACGGTCTTGGTGCAAAACTACTTGCAACAGGGGTAGATTTGGACCAGTAGTGCATATTGTTAAGATTCGCACCTTCGTTCCGTGCTATATGAAAAGTGACCCAAACGACATAAACTTTATAATATAATAATAAATAACACAAACAACAGGTAAAACACGAAAACAAGTGAAATCAAGGACGCACTTGGATAATAACTAAATGACGTTACATGAAATAAACCCCTTGTTTTCGGCCATACGAAATTCGGCCGTTTTCTGTTAAAAGGAATATGGCGGCACAAAATTCCTAGAAATTTTATCAAAATTATTGATTGTCCGACTTTCGGACATTTTAATCTGAGAACTACTTAAGTATAATTAATCAACAAATTCGTAAAAATTATATGGATGGATGATAATGTTACAAAAACACGTTTAAATAATTATGACGTCATTTTTTTTAAAAAAAGGCCCGAAATTCGGATGCATGAAAACTGAACTTAAACGTTTTGATATTTTGACGTAACCAATTTACCTTTTTTTGTTTCCTAGCCTACTACTGTAATTTTTAGACAATATAATCCTAAGCGGCCTAACATGATTTGTTCTCTTAATATCTCCGGTTAGAGAGAAGATAGAAAGTTGCGGTTTGCGGTTGCTGATATTTTGGAAATTTTGTGCTCTATTTAACTGTGCAAAGAGAAGTATAGCCTCCTATTTAAATTTTTTATGCAAAAGCGCAATATCTGTTATGATATCAAACAGCGCCCTCTAGCTACCACGAAAAAAATTGTGGAAACAAAATTTATACTGGAGATCATTAAGGAAGAAAAGCTCTTTTAAACCAGGCCTAGTTTGTTTAAATCGCATAACCTAAATCAGAGTTATCCATATTTTAATAAATGCAAGTTTAACCTTTCCCCATCACTTTATTTTATGAGATAGAGCACAATACCTTATATCAAAAAAATTACAATTTTCTCGATGATTACAATAGTAATGTTTAAAATACCTGTTCACCTGCATATTTTTGAGAAAAACCCTGTTTTCTGATTGGCTATTAGAGAAACGCCCCCTAGCGGGCATTTTTCGAACTTGAAAATAATTTCCAGAGATTTCTCTTGGTTGATTTACCTAATAGAATGTTTTCTCCAAAGTTATACGATAAGTAGTTTCTGAGATACAGCCGGCATCCATTCTTAGTTGGCCACCCGGTACATATTCTTAATTAGTCAAGATCTGTTGATGTGTTAAGGGATTTGGGAATTTCATAGATTGGCATTTCCAAGTGAACTTGATGCCGTTGTTTTCTCGATCATACGGCATACGGTGTTATTATATCTATAGTATGATCGAAAAAACGACGTCAAGATGGTTTGGTTTTGACGATGGATGAGAAATGAGTGATTTTCATTTATTGTTTTAAGTTTTAAAATAGATATTATAATTCCTCAAATTAGTCAAGATCGGTTATAAATAAACCGCAGAATTAACTATAGAGAAGAATACTTTAGTTGCATTCTGGTAAATTTTGTTTTTTGAGAAAACTTGCTTGGCCCCCCCTTTTAATTTCGAAAGAAAATTTAAGTTTGATTTCGCTTATTTTACAATATGTTGTAGTCCTAAAAGCATTCTTTATAAACCTGTCTTGTTTTCCAGATTTACACTTTTTCTTCCTGAGATATTCATTGTTAAACGGTACGGAAAACTCCTAAAATTTAGCTAGAATTTCGAATTTAACAATACTTATCTATAATATAAGTGCTAAAAGTGATATTTTAGTTTGTAAGAAGGGAAGATTTTTGGTTTCATCCCCTTTGAACAAAATAAAATTACTCTAAGGACATAAAACACCTACCGAACGGCATCTCTGACGTTAATAAATTGAGATAATATTTTTGAGATGTGTTTTTTTATAATTTACACTTTTTAGTTGCTAATGTAACAAAAACATTGAATTTGTTGATTTGCACTTGTTATAAGCAATGCTAGAAAATCATGAATTTTTGCTTCTTGAAAAATGATCTAGAAGTTCTCAGTAAAGATACTTTTGTAGTATTTCGTAGTAAGTTAAGGCAACAAGTAATTTTCTTACAAAAAACCTATTAGTAGGGCAGCCCAAAATGCTAAACGATTTACTCGAGAGTCGCACAGTGGATCGACCCAATGCAATTTGCGGGACATTCAGCAAATGTGTTCTAAAATCTTCAAATTTGTTAAAAATAGTCATAACTTTATTATAGATAACTTACTGAATAGTGCAGGGGTGTTTTTCCAGAATATATATTTTATTTGAATTTCCGTATTAAATTGACTATTACAAATTAAACTGCAAAATTTCATACTTATTCCAAAACTTAATGAACTTTTTATCATATTTTTATTCTATATAAATTATGACCTTGCGATTTGTCCAGTTCTTTAATACGAACATGTATTCAATAATAATTTTCAAAGTCTTAATTATTGTATAGTGTATCACAAAAAATATTAAATTTTAAACAAAATTTTCCATAGCCATCTTTGCTGCAAGCGGCTGCAATAAAACTTTGTATTCATAAGTTTAGCATAAAATAGAGTCATATCCACCAACAAATAATCGGGACTCGGTGGGACTTTTTGATAATTACGAAAGAAAGACGCAAACTATATTAAATTATTAGTTAAAATATGGGCTAAAACTTTTGTATGGGGCACATGAATTAAGTCATTTATTTAATCCATAATTTGCTCTATAATTTTCCCACATATTAAATATCTTCAACAAGAAACGCATATATTGTATACCATAATATATGGCTTTGGGTGAATTTTTCTATAAAATTCGATTTTAGTGGGTTTTATGGCTTTCTAAATATGTATTTGAAGAAATTTGTATTAAAAGTTTTAATACGATTTTAAATGTTCCAGCATCAAACATACGCATCGGTGTCGTGGACACCTATTTGCCCATATATATGGCGTATAGAATAATCCGGCTTTTTGCAAAAATACTAGGCATATTATAAAACGCCGGCTTTTTACACAGAAGAAGGAATTTTACAAAAAGCCTATCTATGTTCA